TAGTTTAGAAACATAGTTATATTGAAGGACAAACAAGATGACCTGGAGCTATGCCAGCTGAACTGGACAGTTCTTTTAGATGATGATTTCTTCTAGTTTTTATATATAAACTAGGTTCATCAATCTTGAAATAATACATTTACACAGGAGATCTTTCCACTTTAAGTCTGTACAGTATGACCCCTGTATCTGTAGGATTGGTATCTGCGGTTTCACTTATTTGTGTTATGAAAATATTTAAAATATTAAAAGAAAAATATTAGAAATATAGTAAATATTGTCACTATGTATTTACCAGAACTGGCCACTAGAGGGAGCCACAGACCATGCTACAGTACCGTCTTCACAGAAAATAAGACAGGGTCTTATGCAGTGGTGCCTCGCATTACGACGTTAATTCGTTCCAGCGAAATCGCTGTAGAACGAAAACGTCGTAAAGCGATTTTAAAAGGCCCATAGAAACGCATTAAAACCCGGTTAATGTGTTCCTATGGGCTGGAAACTCACAGTCCAGCGAAGACCCTCCATAGTGTGGCCATTTTTGCTGCCTGTGCAGCGAGGAATCCATCTCAGAAAACAGCGGGTGACCATTTTGTTTACCCGGTGGCCATTTTGAAACCGCTGATCAGCTGTTTAAAAATCATCGCTTTGCGAGAATCGGTTCCCAAAGCAGGGAACTGATCATCGCAAAGCAAAATTCCCCCATAGGGAACATCATCAAGCAGTTTCGTCGTTAAATGGAGCACCCGTCTTGCGGGGCACCACTGTATTAATTTTTGCTCCAAAAAATACATTAGGGCTTATTTTCAGGGGATTTTTAATTTTTTTTTCATGTACAATAATCTACACTTATTCAAATACGGTCATGTCATCTTCTTCTGGTTGCTGCACAAGGGTGGAGGGTGGGGTTTCACTTAACTGCCTTATTTTTGGGGTAGGGCTTATAGGCATCCTGAAAAATCATACTAGGCTTGTTTTCAGGTTAGGTCTTATTTTCAGGGAAATGGTATGTACTGTATTGCATAGCTTTGTCTTTGGCTCCCTCTAGCGGCCAGTTCTGGTAATTCATTTTCTGCTTTTTGGATTTTTTTTCTTTTGCCATACTGTGTATAGTGTTCTCAATTATTTTCAGCTTCTGCAAGGGGGACCTGGAACTAATTCCAAGCACGTATGGGTGTCCTACTGTATATTACTGTATTGGGAAAAGGTTTTTAACATTTCAGGAGTTTGTATGTATTAAAACGGAAATCTACATTTTTCAAAGGTGTCTTGGCTCAGCTCTGCCATAACTTGGGCATAAGAAGTAGATGGCTTAGTATATGGAACAGATAGATTAAGATTCCTGTTGCTTTTGTAACTATTCCCATTGCTGGCAATGAGATGGACATTGTAGTCATCTTTAATATTGAATTATTGTATGAAGTCCTTTATTTTTTTTAACAAGCATATCTGGTTACAAGATGGCTGTAAATCTGTGGGTCCAAACTGTGTTCGTCTTGCTGTAAAATAATCTTGATTTCAATCTCTAGGGCTCAGTGTGCACATTTTTTTAATATGGAGTTTTTTACATTGAACTGATAGCCTTACTTGTTTTGTACTTGTGGAGAAAAGGACTCTGGTCTCAATTTTTGTCTTGATTCCATTTGTATAAGACAGTAAACGTTTAAAATGTGTTTAACAGTCTGCAGTTGCCATTTATGTTGCTGTGTCTATGATCTTTGCATATACATTATTTTCCGAATTAAAAACCTGATGTAAATGTTTGTTATGAGCTGAAAACATGGATAGGAGATATGCACAGGATTGAGGTCCTCAGTGGTTTAGATATTTGGCTGCGGAGCCAGAGGTTGGGACTTCAATTCCCCATTCTGCCACCTATGAGTACAGTGAGCTCTGTGTGGCCTTGAGCAGTCCCAGGGTGCCCCCAGAAGAAGGGAATGGTAAAACACTTCTGAGTATTCACTACCTATAAAGCCACCATTAATCCAAATTGACTTGATTTATTATTATATTAAACACCAGGCACAGTCCAAATTACAAAAACATTGGCTCGTATTATATAACACATACAAGTTTTAACCAAAAAACTAAGTATCTGTTAAATATCTGCTGTTCCTAATATTGCTGTTTTTTGTTGCTCTGATGGTGTGATTTCTGAGATCTGCAACAGTTTATAGTATTGTGTGAAATTTCTTAATGTTGATCCCAAAGCCCCAGTGATTACGGGGACTACTGAACTGTGTTCTTCCAGAGGTGAGATGTTTTGATTGCCAGTTCTCTGTACTTTGTTAGTTTTTCCAATTCTTTATTTTCAATTCTGGCATTCCCTGGAATTACAATGTCAATGATCCAGACATTTCTTCATTCCATTACTACTATGTCTGGTGCATTATGTTCAAGGTGTCTATAAGTTTGGATCCTGAAATTGATAGACACTTCAAACTTGATGATGATGATGATGATGATGATGATGTTTCAAGATAGACAAGTCTTCAGTATTTTATTTTCAGTATGGATGTACTTGAAGTGCAAAAGAAAAAAACACAAAATGCAACTCATTGATCTGGTAATGAATTCTAGTGGCTATTTGTATACAGTGGTGCCCCGCATAGCTACGTTAATCCGTTCTGGATTAATCATCACTATGCAGAAACATTGCTAAACGGAACGGAAAAAGCCATAGGAACACATTAAACTTTGTTTAATGCATTCCGATGGCTCCCAAACTCACAGTTCAGCGAAGTTCCTCCATAGCGCCGCCATTTTCGCACCCTCGGTAAGCGAGGGCAGGGCGTGAAAACACTTGCGGTGGCCATTTTGGGCACCCGGCGGCCATTTTGGAACCGCCAATCAGCTGTTTAAAAAAACATTGCAGTGCGAAGATCAGTAAGCAAAACGCTTACCGATCATCGCAATGTGATGTTTTGCCTATTCAGAACATCGCAATGCGATCGCATTAGCGATCTAAAAAAATAGATCGCTATGCGGATTTGTCGTTAAATGGTGCGTTCGTTAAGCGAGGCACCACTGTATTTTAATATGGGGAATTTTTCTTTATAACCACATTCCACTGTCAAAATAATGACCATTGTTTTCAGCTTTGATAGTGTGACCAAGGAAAGAGGAAAAGATGGAATTGATTCTACCACACCTTCAATAAAATGACTGCTCAAAAATTAAGAGAATATACAATCTGTCTTGCAGTTTTCCCACAGTCCCAGATGAGAAATGAATTATCATATATGCAGCTTTGACTGTTGCATGACAACTTTTTCCTTCTTACCCTTTAATCTGTACAGAACATAATTTTCATCTTGTGGCGCAGTGGTTAAACTGCAGTACTGCAGTACTGCAGTCAAGACTCTGTTCATGACCCAACTTCAATTCCGATGTGCTCAGGTAGACAGCTCAAGGTAAATTCAGCTTTCCATCCTTCCGAGGTTGGTAAATTGAGTACCTAGCTCATGGGGGGGCAATGTATAGCCTGCATAATTAAATGATAAACTGACCCTCACTATCAAAAGACATATTTATCCCTGCCTTGGCATCATTTGTGTTTGAAGTTGTTCTAAGTCATGTGTCTCCTGGTAATCACTTCAAATATACATTAGCCACATCTCAAGAGGAGTTGATCTGGTGGACCATCAGCCTTTATTCTTGAAAAGAGAGAGCAACTGGTGTATGCTGCTCCAGTAGATAGTGTAAGAAAGCTGCCAGACTTTCCTGGCAATTGGCTTGCAAGTAGCCTTTGTTGCCTGATAATTCTCACTACAAGGGAGGCCGATGATTAGAAATGCAAACCTAAAAAGTCTGTTTCCTGTTCTCTGAACTGGAGATGGGTGGATTTTTTTCTGTCTCAAGACTGAGAGGCTTTGGGTATTAGAAGAATAACATGGTGCCTTTCTCTTGAATCCAGTATAGGTTTTTGATCCTGTTTGAGACTGGTGGCACAGAAGATAGTTTAACCCAAGACTGCTTTACTAGCAAGAATAATCCAGGCAAAAAAGGGAAGGAGTACCAGAGCAGATGACAATTGTACACGCTACTGAAGACCAGGCCACTGACAGGAGGTGGTGCTTCTTTGACATCCAGTTGTATTCATTTAGTCATATGGAGGATCTGATATGTATATGGGCGCAGATTCTCAGATGGTGAGAAAGGACTGCTGTCTCCTATTACTTCATCTAGTGATGGTCTGAATGGAAATGGAGAAGATGAAGAATCACCAGGGACAGCTGAATTATTGTCTGGTTCAGAGGATTCTTCCTGAGGAGCAAGGTCCTGTTGAGCAGGCAGTATTGCTGCGGAAAGCATGACCATGGTGAGAGTAGCGATAGATGCACTCAATACAGGTTGCTGTAGCAGTGTAGGCTGTAAAGCTGTCAGTACAGGTGGAGGAGTGGTTGATGTTGGAGGATGGAGGAATGAGATTTGATAAGCTGGGACAGATGAGACAACATGGCAGTGTGGGTGGGGGCAAGGTGGAGGAAAATCACAGGATTAAGCACCATCATGGGATCGAGGTAACTGACCATCTTGGGACTGAGGAAGAAGAGACTGGGACGGGTAGGTCTAGATATGAATAATGGATACACTGTGGATACTGTAAAAATTCATGAAACTGAGGCGAATTCATATGGTACGATTGTGGAGAACCACAGTACTTCTCTTGATGCCAGTCCCAAGATAATTGCTTTTTTTTTTGAGTGAGCGAGCACAAGCAGTGGTGAGAGTGAGAACAGTGGTGAGTATGCTGTGCCATCCAGTCCCACTGGCCTTGCCTTGCAAGGTGTTCCAAACATACAGGTGGTGGTGGTGGTGGTGAGAATCCCCTTCATACCGAGATTGAAGAGGGTTGTGAGAGGTTCAGTGCAGGACGTGAGCAATAGATCTGGGCTCTGATGGGTTCTGTTCATGGATCTCCTCATCCAATACCCAGCCCAGAAAAAAAATACTGGAAGAGTTACCCATCAGGCAGTTGTTTTGTTGAGGAGAAGCAGACTAGTTGACAAATTCTGACTGAGTGTGGATACCAGATGATCAGCATGCTAAGGACAAAAGGACAGTTGTCAGGGTTACTGCTCTTGGGGCTACAGCCAAAGGTGACACAAGTCAGTGCTAGAGGTCAAAGTGAAGTCTGTACCAAAGCAGCTTGATCAGAAGGCAAAGCAGAGGACTAATGAGTTCTGCTTTTCTTAGCATTAGATGCATCCTCTGAAGCAGGCACATTTTTTTAATACAGGCAACTGTATTACATGCAAAAGTTTATAGATATAGTTATTTGCAATCTTTCTATAGTATCTAATGACACACATACTTGAAATCCAATTTGATATCTAGAGTATTTGCATCAAAATATTCCATCTCTAAACTGGTGCTTTTAAACAAACTAAGAATAATACAAATGACGTTTCTGTGCTGTTTAGATACTTAAATATTTTTAAATGTATCTATCATTGTACGTTGACATGATTTCCATGTATAGAGTCGCCTCTATATTACATATAGAATTAAATATTACATATAGAATATTACATATAGAATTAAAATGGCATACTGGACACCAAAGCATTCGAAAAGACACTTTCTATTTAGAATCTCCAATTTGTTGATGCCTCCTTTGCCAGTGTTACTGGATTTGTCAGGGATACTAGGATTGTTGGTATTCATAGCAGTTCTGAGAGCATGACCGTCTTAATATTCTGAACTAGATCACTGAGTATACTTGGTTCCCTAGGAAGTGCAAGCTGTCAGCCACTGACTACACAGAACAAGATTAAATTGTACTCATTTAGATTAGCCAAATGGTAATGGTCAAAATCTAGCATGAACCCAAGTTTTTCTGATATAGTTGACTGTCCTTTTCTGCTGTGCACTTTTTTGTGGAAAAGTGCACAAAACTATATTCTAGGCTGTACGTGTTGCACACCTGGTAGCTTAAAGACAGAGTTAGGCCCCAAAATTCTTTGGTTGAATTCTGCTCATAGAAGGGGAGAAGCTGTTTTGCCTGACTTTCCCTGTACCCCTGAAAAAGCTGCTCCAAAGCGTTGGAAGACTATAGAAAAAGTAAAACAAAATACATTAGGGAAAATTCCTTCCTCCGTAACCATAATCATGCCTATGAATCAATAGGGCCATCTCAATTATTTCTGATTGGATAGAATAATGGAATATAATAAAAGTTAGTATAGTAAAAGGTTTCTTGTACTTTTCCTTTCTTTCCTCTAAGCTGTTTTGCCTGACTTTCCCTGTACCCCTAAAAAAGCTGCTCCAAAACGTTGGAAGACTATAGAAAAAGTAAAAAAACATCTGAGTAACAAAGGTTAAGAACCACTGCTCTAGACTATTGTTACATACATTGTTACATATAATTTCCAAAAGAAATGCTAAGGAAGTATTTACATGGAGAAAGCAATCTATTTTATTTATGAATCCATAGCAAAGAAGAAGTGCAGATCAGCTTTTTCTTCACATATATTGCAGCAATCTCCACACCCCATGCTCTCTGTCTAGCATAAGCTCAGCCCCCAAAAGAGGGCAAAAGAGGGGCATATGCTAAGTTAATTTTTTGCACTTGACCGATGAGATTGAAGGTTTCTAAAGAACTGAAAGATAACACAGTGGAGACTGACAAGCTTCTAGAGTGCAGTGGGAAAAGACAGCCTTTACAATACAAATATTAACCGTTAAAACACGTGAAAACAAACAGGATATTGCTTATGAAAAGGTCAGTCCTTAGGACATAACACACCTACATTTGCTGCTAATATCTTAAATAAATTATAGCTACCTATTTGTTTAAGGATATGTTCCCTATGCAAGGCTGAACAGGCGGATGACCCTGTTGTTGAGATCCAAAGCCACAGAAGAAAGCTGCTAAATACCCAAGTAGTTGTATGGTTCCTACAGCTGCTGAAGGGTGTGATTTATATAAATCCACTTGCTATCTGGTGGAAGCTCAGATGCTTTTTTACCTTCTGGACAAGGTAAGGATATTTCTTCAGATTTCTCACCTTCCACCTATGCTTCTGCATGCACTGAAGGCCTAATAACTGGCCTAAGGGCTACAGGACCTCTTCAGATTCCAGGGTATCAGACCTGCACTAACCAAGTCCTGTAAATTTAATAAGCCCCATCAACTTTTTTGCTCGTGCATACTTTTTGGAAACATTCATTTTCATGGCAAGATTGAGTAGCTTTTAATCTTTTCCATTGTTGCAAAGCTGTCTTGCAGTTGCCTTCTGGTTCTCTAATAGCATGATGGATTTTCCAGAGTTTTCTATATTTCTAAGTAGAGTCTCTAGCCGTCTTTTGATTTTCTTCTGATCTTCTATAGCACACCCAATGACAACAGACTGGAATTTCTGATTCACGGGTCCAGAGGGTACCTCAGATATACATGCACCATAAAGTGAGAGCAAGCGGCTCCTGGAGTCTTCCAGATCATCCAAGAGTTTATTGACAACTTCGTCAATAATCTCTGTAGCATGTAACAGGGACTCTTGCTCCTGTGGATTTCAAATGGTTTCTACTGAAACCTCAACCGTGAGAGTCCTGCCCATCAGGTGTTTAGCAGTCAGATTGAGTTCTTCTCTCTCACCTGTATTTTGAAAGTGAAACATTTTGGTTTTAAAGTTTCCCATGAGACCAAATGACAATACACTTCTCATTTAACAACCTACCTGTTTACCTCGGATTTATGACCCTTTACGACCCTCATAAATCCGTGCTTGCATCTTCTCCACACCCCTTCTCTACAGCATGTGATTTATTTTACTCCTTAATACAATATTAAATGCAATATTATTGCTCCTTGCTTATTGATCAGTTCACTTAACGACCTAGTCATAAGAACAGAACTCAATCATTAAGTGAGGAATGCCTGTACTGAATTGCAGGAATGAAGAAAAATGGAAGCACTAAATGAAAGTCCTGGTCTAAATTACAGAAGTTCGAATGTACAGTAGACCCTCTACTTACAGAATTAATCTGTATTGGAACGGTGGCTGCAGGTCGAAAAGTTTGTAGGTCGAGTCTCCATTGACCTACAATTTATTGAAAACCAATTAATCCCGCAACCGGCCATTTTTGTTCCATTTTGGTTTTTTTCTGGTCTGTAGGTCGATTCTCAGGCTGCCAGTCGAACCTAAATTTTGCAGCCAGAGAAGTCTGTAAGTCGAGCCATCTGTAAGTCGAGGGTCCACTGTAATATATTTCTTGTGGATATGAAGTAATTCTTACAAGACTTTGACTTCACCAGTATTAACTGCCCTTTATATTAGATACTATAGCACAGTGTTTCATCAGTCCAATAAAAGCACTCAAGTGACTTATGCCATGTGTTCCAAGTATACGTGGAATTATTTTTATATTCTCTTCCCTCAAGTAAGTTTCAAATGAGAGGTTTAACAATGACTCGCCTTCACTGATGTTCCTCATGTCCTGGCTGTTTTGTACATTGTGGATCATTTCCAAAAGGGTTTCTTTTTCTTGCTCCATTGAAGAGGCTGCCTCACGCAAAGCTTCAACTCTGAGTAGCAGAAAAACCAAAATAGAATTTACAAACAGTTAAACAATATTTTATTGACTTGTCATGCCAAGGTAAAGGTAAAAGGTAAAGGTTCCCCTTGACAATTTGTCCAGTTGTGTCCGACTCTAGGCGGCAGTGCTCATCTCCGTTTCCAACCCATAGAGCTAGCATTTGTCCGCAGACAATCCTCCGTGGTCATGTGGCCAGCGTGACTAGACACGGATGCCGTTTACCCTCCCACCGCGGTGGTGCCTATTTATCTACTTTTAAACTGCTAGGTTGGCGGGAGCTGGGATAGGCGACCGGGGCTCACTCGATCTTACGACTGCAAGTCTTCTGACCTTGCAGCACACAGGCTTCAGCTATTTAACCCGCAGCGCCACCACGTCCACTGGCACCACCAGTGCCAAGGTAAATTGATGTAAATTATGGTTTAAAACAGAGCTTGGAATGTTAGGTATAAAAATTAATTCGTTAAATGATAAAAAGTGGGAAATTAACCAGTTGCTGTAAATGTTTAAAATTGAAAACTCTCATGTTGTTAAACAGTTGTATGAACATGTTAATTAAAATGTTCATTTTGTGCTCTCATTTCATCCCTCTTTCCAAAATTAAGGTACCTAGACATTCCCCCCCAAAAAACCCTATTTTACACTAGGTGGCTTAACTTTGCCCCGTTAAAATGCATTCAGAATATGACACCCTAAAGATTTCTGAAGAGAAAACCCAAGCTATCACTAAGCTGTACAGGCCTAGTTGAACTGCCCATCCCATACTGTAGATGACTGCAGATTTGCTTGTGAGAATGCTTAATTAATATGAAAAAACAAAAACAAAAAAACAATCCAAAGTTTCTGTTGATGCAAAGGGGGGCACATTTTCTTATTGCTGAAATTGTGTAGGTTAACTGTTGGAACTGTTAAACACAGACAGGGAAACCGCTGCATTTCTCATCGCTCTTAGCCACTCCAGCAAAAACTAACCCTACTCAAGGGTACTTCAGTTTCCACCCCATAACTGCCATTTTATATTTTTCAGTTGCATAAAGCAGAGTTAAAACAACACTACTACAGTATACTCGTAAGCAGAGGCTTCAGGCTCTTAAAAGGATGCAAGATTGGGAAACAGAGTTACTGTATCAGTGAATAACAGCTATAATAAAACAGTTACCAAGGGGGGAGAACAGTCTGTACAAACTGCTTCTATGGAATAGATAAATGAATCTCCATTAACCACAGTTATAGAAAAACTGATTACACCATATAATTTCTTATCTGTTTTATGCAAAGGAACAGCTTCTTTATAGTTCAAGTCTTCACAGTACAAAGGAAACAGATACTGCCTTACATACAGTATCTACCACGGTAACATAATCTCTTTTATTTAGTACAGTATTACTCTATTATTTAAACTTGGAATTTACATATTTTAGGGTTTTTTAAAAAAATCTTATTTCAATTTTTCACAAATTTGAGGTCGCTGCTGCTGTTTTTAATTCATCAGCTGTCATCTAACCTAATTTCCTAACTTCCTCTTCATCCTTGCTTGGCCTTGCTCTCGTACATGACAAATATGTCACAACAATTCAGCTTGAGTCATTGCACATGTGTCTTCTAGGGCTTAGTCATAGAAATAATATAAAGGCTGAGAGCTTTCAAGACCAAAATAATAGTAGTTGAAGTGGAGAAAGATACTTTCATGAGAGGAAGAACTTAAATGAATATCCACATATGGTAGGAGTATGACAGAATCCTCTGTAAAATTCCACAAGTGAGATCGATCCATTGCACAGTAAAAGCTTTATATGCAAACATCCTTAATATTAAATTTGTGATCTTCTGGTATGTCATGCTCACTCCGCAGCTATAGTGCTATATGGATAGATATGTTTGAAGCAAATGAAACAGCCTAAAAGGAATTACTTTTATATTTTTAAAACCAATAAGGGGGGTATTGCATTTTTATAAATACTGTATGTAGTTCTGTGCCTGGCCTGCATGACTCAGACTCTGAAGTTCTATCCACACTGACACTGATTTATGATGCCAGCTGAGTACAGTACTAGCTCTCAATCAGCTAGTAGAGTATCTTAGCTTGCAGCCAAATTCTTCTTTAGAACCCCGTCCTAATAATCCAGGTTGGGGGGGGCAAGGTTCCACCCTCCAGATGCTGCTGGTGACTGCAGCACCCAGCATTCCTCACCATGGGTTATGTTGCTAACAAAAAAATCTATTTATACTTAGCAAGCACTACAGTATAGTAGTGTTGTTTTAACTCATAGAATCATAAAGTTGGAAGGGGCCTATAAGGCCAACTCAAATGCATACAGTATATTCAACTTCATATATACCCTTCCCCTCCTTCATAGCCATAGGAGTCATTCCCATAGCACAAGTATTATAAGTGGTTCCTCAACTTACAAACTTAACCAACCATGCAAGACCCATCGGAAATGCAAAAAAGCAAAGCAGAAAGCAAGCCAAGCATGCAAGCCCCATTGGAAATGCAGAAAAAGCAAACCAGAAAGCAAGCAAAGCGTGCAAGACCCATTGGAAATGCAGAAAAAGAAAACCAAAAAGCAAACAGAAACTGCAAGACCCATTGGAAATGCAAAAAGAAAATTCCAAAAGCAGAGACTGCAAGACCCATCGGAAATGCAAAAAAAATCACCAAAAAGCAGAGACTGCAAGACCAATCAGAAATGCAAAAAACCCCGAAAAGCAAACAAAGACTGCAAGACGCATCAGAAATGCAAAAAGAAAAACCCAAAAAGCAAACAGAGACTGCAAGACCCATTGGAAATGCAAAAAAAAATACCAAGAAGCAAACAAACCCTGCAAGACCCATTGGAAATGCCAAAAAAAAAAAAACACCAAGAAGCAAACAAACCCTGCAAGACCCATTGGAAATGGGGGGGGGAACCCCAAAAAACTATCAAAGTCTGCAAGACCCATCAAAGCATAGAAACATAACCCCACCGCCCAGCCCAAACCCACGCTGCAAAACCCACCTAGAACAGCCAGTTTTTAAAAAGTAGAAAGCAGCACTTACCGGGGAATCCAAAGACTCCTCCAAACGCACACACTCTAACCGCTGGGGTGAAAGAGCTACGAAGAAGCAGCCTGTTCGCCATCAACGGTTAGCAATTTGAATTCCCCACCTTTTTCCCTGCCTTTTTTCTGGTTGTAACTTGAAGCTTCGGTCTTAAGTCGAAGCAAAATTTTGCTGCCGGAGCTGGTAGTAACTCGAAATGGTTGTTAAGTTGGGATGATTTTAAGTCAAGGCACCACTTACTGGTACAGCCGTCTGTAAGTCAAGGTCCACTGTAATAGAAACCTAATTCTAGAAGGAGAATTACCTAAAAAGGTAGTGATCACTGACGAAGGTCAAAATGGATCAGACAGTTAGGTCCACCTGGCTACCTATCAGTCTATTGCTTCCAACTAGTGACTTTATATATAATATTACTGAACTTGTTTTAACATAGGACTGTGGATGGAAGAGGGAGTCTAGCACAGCTTTTGTTTTGTTCAACCTTAAGACAGCATCTTTGCCATTTTCAGTGAATACAAACAATTATGTACATGCATAGGTACTGTATGTGCAGGTAGGAAGAATGTGAATTATGCAAAAAATGGAAAATGTTCAATAACATAATGTTTCTCCTCATGTCTGCATGTGCTAATGCTTGTGAAACTGGAAAATCTAATGAAACATATGGTAGCCAACTATTTTTCTCTTCTAGAGGCATGTTGGCTCAAGATCTATACTATTAACAGCAAGCGGACATCACAGAAACTGACCATGGTGATGCTTCCCTTTCACTTTACCTCCCACAAGGAATGTTCCATGAATTCTTGCATGTCAAGCTAATGTTCTAAGTCAGTGGTTCTCAAGCTTGGATAACCCAGGTGTTATAATTCCCAGAAGCCTTTGTCACTAGCTGTGCTAGGAGCTGCAGCCCAAGAAGACCTAGGTCACCCAAGGTAAAGGAATGCATGACTGAAAAAAAACCCTTAGCGATGACATCTGACTTGATCCCATATTTTATTTCTTAATATCTAAAATCTGAATTTTAAAGGCTTCATGAAAAATTTACAGATTTAAGACAGCCTGTGTCACTCTTTCTGTCATCTTGGCAAGAAGTCTGTATTGCTTGACCTTAGAGTAGAAAAAGAGTTGATGTATAGTATGGTTCTGAAGCAATGTGTAAATTCCCCATTTTAAGAAGGAGGAGCTGAAATATATCTTCACAGTCATTCTGAACCACAAATTCCTGATCTATTAAGCTGAAATCTTAAGTGAGTTTTAGCACGGGGTGAGTGCCACTGAATTCAGTCAGACTTGCTTCTGAGTTAACTCACAAAGGACTAGCTGAGGGATCCTTCAAAATCTGATGTCCAGTCACTGCTGCCAATAACAACAGAAAGGTAACTAACTCCATATAGTTTCAAGAATAACAGCTGAAACTTCCAGTTCTCTCCTAGTTAGGAACTATATATAGGTCTCTCCCATCATAAGCACCTGCGTACATCACTCAAAGGGAGAACCATCTTTCTGCAGCAAATATCTCCCTTGTTCTTTCACAGATGGAGAACCTGTCTCAGGCACCTTCCACTGGCTATGAAATTTACAGTATATACAATACGTAATTTCTTTACAGTTCTGGGGCCACATGTGTGTTCTCTATTTAGTTATGGAAATCCTAAGTAACTGTATTACAGAAACAACCATCTGAAAATAACAGTACAGTGGTGCCTCGCACAACGGGCACCTCGTAGAGCGATGAATTCGCTCTACAAGGCCATTTTTGCGATCGCAAATACGATCGCAAAACGGTGCCCGTATAGGCGGTAATTCACAGAGCGAAGGTCGGTAAGCTGCTCAGCTGTCCCACGGCTGCACGCAACCATTTCGGGGCTTCCGGCAGCGTTTTTACACGCTCCCCTTGCTTACCAAGGGCGCGAAAACGCTGCGCCCTGGCCCCTTTCGGCTGTTCCGGCGGCCATTTTGGACCCGCCGGACAGCTGATGGCAGCCATTTTGGCGCCCTCGTTGTGCGAGGGGAGGGCGCGAAAATGGCTGCTGGCCCCTGGGAAACATCGCACAATGGTGAGTATTCTATGGCATTGGAATGCATTAAACGCTGTTTAATGCGTTCCAATGCCTTTTTGTGTTCCGTAGTGCGATGTTTCCCACAGCGAAGGTTAATCTGGAACGGATTAACCTCGCTGTGCGGGGCACCACTGTAGTTTTAGAAGAGGTAGTCAAGTTAGTCTGTGCTAGCATATCAGGCAAAAACAAAACAAAAATAAAAAATAAATAACAGAAAAACATTGTGGCACCTTAAAGTCCTACCTGCTAGTCCATGAAAGCTCACATTAAAATATAGCAATACTGTATTTAAGGCGCCACAACATTTTGTCTTCTTTATTTTTATTTTGTTTTTGCCTCATCTGAAAATAAACCATAAAGAAAGTTCTCATCAGACAAGAGTATAAGCAGGATATTTGATAAAAAAACAGTCCATAAGCTACACACAAGTACCAATCTTCTGTGAGCAAATAACACAGGAAGAAACTTCCCCTTCAAAAACTTTGGAACATAAAAAACAATCTTTCCTCCTAAACTGCTGCATTATTTTATTTAGTGACTTTATATGGAACTCCTCAGATAACAGCTTTTTGAAGCACCTACCATTCATCTAAAATAATAAAACAAAAATCAATCACATATTTAAACTCTATAAACAGAAATAGCAAAAAGAAAAGAAAAAATCCATATTCAAACAATACAGAAAGCACAGAAGAAGAAAATCTGAAATACTTGCCAAAATTACACCAGGTTCAGCTTGTTTGGGGACAGTGTTCCTGAGTAGAGGTATCATAAAAGATCTCTGAACAAGATTTTCATAATTAAGATGGTTTATGTGGGAAAAGTTAATGATCAAGCTAGCCTAGTCTCAAGTGATTTGAGGTGGTAAAAGTTCAACATCACCTTGAGGTCAACTCAAAACTGACTGGATGGCAGTGCAGTTTCAAAGCTGGCTGAAATTTATTCCACATGCCTCTTGCTAGCTGGTAATCTGTCAAATTTTGTTCTCACTGCAATATCTGAACCATCTTCAGAAGCAATAGAATAGTAACACAAAGGTACACAGCAATACAGGCCATTCCTATGTGCTTAGAAGTATGGCTTGAACAGCCCCCTTCCCCTCTATAGCTTCATAGCTGATCTCCCTAGAAGCCCAGCAGGTTCTGCACACAGCATGGGAACGGAGGTGCCTTATTTCATGTTACCACAGACAGCCAATAGGAGAGGCCTGGATTCTATTTCACCTCTGCTAAGAATTCCCTCTCTAACCAAAACATTTTCTGGCCACCTCTGTTCTCCATCCCACATTTATCCAGCAAAGCCATCAGAGTGCAAGCAGTCAGTACATCAGCCTATGATGGCTTCCAAACAAGCACTTGCCTTTAGTCTCTCACTTAGGCAACAGCTTGTTGCTGAAATTCTCTCTCGCTGCCACTCCACAAAGTCCTTAGGCATCCTTCAGTCTCGAGAGAGCATGGTAACTTGCTCTGAATAGAGGACTTGGAACGGCGTCTAGTATGGCTGAGAAGGCCAAACCGAGAGTGACAATCCCTTCCACACTGAGGACAAATGCAATCTGTCCCCTGTCCAGCTCCCTGATTTTGCTGGTTTCGGGACAGCCTCTTTGTCTCGGCCTGGTCCTGGTTCTCCAATAATCTGACCAGCCTATTTCCTTCTTAATAATTATGGGGCTCAGGGCCACCATCACACAAATAAAACCAATACTTGAGTATGAATAAAAGCAATCAACTATTGAAACTGTAAACTTAGCAAGATATTTAAAAGGAGAAAATAGATGTTAAATAATAAATAATAATTAAATTATTCACTGGCTATAATAAAGAGCCTTAAAGGAATTTTATTTAAGGAAGGTGCTCCCTGTAACCAAGGAAAACCTAATAACGGTTCTAACTCTACCTGTGCACCCTTGGGTATTTGTGTTGGTCGCTCCAGTGGGTGTGCCCTTAAAGTGACATCTTCTTTGTTCATATCATCAACAAGCCAATGGTGCTTCCAGAGTGAAAGGATCCATCAACACAATGCTATCTGCCCAAATGTGTTCACAATCCTCACATTCTTCCAGGACGCTCCTTTTGTGTCCCTCTCAAAGTGGCTGGAAATTAACATTTTAATTGATAACCATTCCCTACCAGTGCTGGACTAGCTTCCTTCACTCCAAAACATTCTGGAAAACTTAAATTACATTTAATTAAAAAGTTGCAGAGCCATGAAAATGCATACTTTATATTAATTTGACTTTATGATATATTGATTCTGTAGAAGAGAGGAAGAGGAATTGCTCACCCTCTCCCTGCCCTCATCTTCCATATGCACAGATCCTTCTTGGGCTCTTTCCCTGCTGAAGAGCATCTCAGCTGGATAATTTGTAAGCCGCAAAAAGGCCTATAAAATGTCCAGTTGTCAAACATGGGCATAAAGGCATGGAGGTTGGGAGCAGGGCTGAAGCCCAGGTTTCCTCCTTTGTCCAATGCCATGTGCGAATAAAGCCAGGAATATAGACTTTTCTGCAGCTTTAATGTATTCTTCGGAAGCACCACCTGGATTCCAGTTTTTTTGGGGGGGACCCCCCCACACACACGCCCCTCGGCTGCGGCTGTTCGGGGAGAAACACGCAGTTGCTGAAAAAAAATATATAAAAGCATAAAAAAGCTCCGACTGGAAAGGAGCAACTCCAGTCAGTTTAATTCCTTCACAACCGTAACGCCGGCATCCTTTATAAGGGGAGAGCCGCTCCTCTCGAGGAAGGACGCGCGGCACCCCCTTTCCTCTCCTCCGCCTGGAGACCTGCAGAGGCTGCCCGAGCTGCCCGCCACCTTCCTCCCTTTTTTCCCTCGGAGCGCCCGCATGGAGGGCAAGGCGGGGAGCAGCTGCTCGCTCGCCCGCCAGGGGCTTGCTTTTACCTCAGCTCCAGCTGGTCGAGGCACTCCAGGAGGCGGCTGGAGCGGTCCGCCATGGAGGTGGAGCGGAAGAAGCGGCTTCGCGAGGAATGCCCGGAGATGCCTGACGGGGCGCCTTCACTGGCGGCGGCGTTGGCGTTGCTCTTGCTGCTGTGAATCTTGGCCTGGGCCATGGCGGGCTTGCGCGGGGGAAGGACGGAGGCCGTCGCCCGCTTCGGCCGCTTGCCGGGAGGGAGAGAGAGAGGGCGGAGAGGCCTGGGCAGCGCCGCCACCCCCGGCGTGGCCGCCAAAGAAGGCGAGGCGCCGCCCCTGCCCTTTCTCGCCCGCTCCCCTTTTCCAGAGCCGGCGGCGCTCCGAGAAGGACCCGGGCAATTGCCGGCGGATTTGCGCTGGGCGGGAGAAAGGCGCTCTTTCGCTGTTCAGAGCCTCCCCCGCCTTCCTTTGTAAAGCCAGATGGCATTCCTGCATTCCCAGCCTTGGCACTGACCACAGTGGCTTCTGAGGCTCCCCGATTTTTTTGGGGGGGGGAATTCAGTCTCAAGATACCCTGGCAGGATCACCTGGCAAAAACCGAAGAAAAATACACAGGCAGACAGGCAGACAGACAGAAGCGTTGTACTGTAGTAGTATTGTCTACCACACAGAATGGATCTGAAGGGTCTAGTTAATAAGGTTGTTTAAAAGGCTTTTTAAAAAAGCTCCCAGTTTGTAGAACGAATGGGTTGCCACCTTGGCCTGCTCCTCTGCCTTTCCCCACTAGGTGCGGAGGACCCCTGGGATCCTCCGCCGGATCTCTCTCACCAGGTCCCTCTGACAACAAGAACCAGGGAGGCCATTAGAGGGTGATGGTGGAGGAGCCCCTTCTGCAGTGATCTGTCCTCTCTGTGCCACACCCGGCTGTGCCTGGAGAAGAAAAACAGTTGCTACCTTATATGATCTCTGCAGCAGCAGCATAGGCTTGATCCTCCCTGGCCTGATGTCGGCTGGAGAGGGGAAACAGAAGGCCCTTGGCTTCTCTTGCCTGCCTGCTGTCCTGCTTATCCCCAGAACTGGCAAATCTCAAAGGCAAAAAAGCAAAAGGGATTCCTGATGGGGTATCTCTCCCCTCTTTTCCGGCCCCTGATAACTGGATATAGAAATGCTGTTTATTGTTTAATCCCAGGTAGGGGGAAGCATAGCTCTGCAGTGATTTTGGAACATCATCTCCCATCAGTTAACGTAGCAGGTGATGAGACACAATGGGAACTGCAGTCCTGGGGTCTGGTGAGTCAAGTTACCTGTCAAGTTACCTGTCCACACTGTTCTTTCTTCAGCATAGACGACCAGAGTGAAAACTGCAAACTGCTCCCTCTCCCACACCCCTAAAATGTATCACTCTCCCTGATTTATGTTGAGGACACGCTTGTTAATTTCCCTTCTCAAAAATGCTTTTTTCTTGCCTCAGAGCTTTTATCTTGACACATCCTGAAGTGAGTAGTGTAGTGTTGTCTGTACTTCAGGATGTCTGCATCTGATCGGTTTTTAACGGGATACAGCAGTCCTGTGTCCTCCAGAACTCACGCCACCCCTTGACAGAAACTTCCCTCTCATTAGCTGCATTGCAGTAGTTCCTCAACCATCTTTGGAAAGGGAGGGGATAAGAACAAAGATTTCATACCAATTGCGGAAGATCCAGAGAATTTAAAAACAAATAGAATAAAGAATTCATTGCATTAGGAACAACAGTAGCTGCCAAATAAGCATAAAAATTGTTGTTTAGGATCAGGAAAGACGAGAAAGAACTGCTAAGTATTTTGTAGCCAAGTACTGTTATTCTGGCTAAAAGACTGAACTGTGATCTGTTTTGCCTCTCATACTGTCACAAGCGTAGCCCACAACTCATCCTCCTACTTGATCTGCAGTGTGAGGATAATAATGCTGACCTCCTCTGCAGAGTTGTTGGAAGGATTACAGCATCCTTTGATCCACAGAATAATGTTCATAAAGCGCTTTTAATCCTTATAGACATCTCTTGCATTAACAGATATTAACCTTCTAAAACTTTCTTTAGGGGCTTTCAGGGACCCCTATATTTAGATGTAATTCAGCACAAGTGTCTGGGACTTCAGCCCTCTGCAGTTAATAAGCATATATCCTGCATTTTGTCACTGTTAAGTTTCCAGAAGTTAATATTTTTTCATGGTAAGGGGCATGTAGTTGGAATGTAGCATGTAGTGACATGCTGCTACTAAGAAACATTGACTAACATACTTAATTCTGCTCCAGCTGGGAGAAGGGGTGAGAACCTTTTTTCCCATTAGAAATTGGACAAACGAAGATTTAGTCAGTTTAGACTGATGGTGATAATTTATCATAATTCTTGTACTGTAATCGGCTTCCCGCCCAAAAAGACTTCTCCCAGTAGCGAAAGGCTTCTACTCCCAGATTCATAAAAAGCAGCCTGCTTAGAATGCCCTTGCCTTCTGAAATTAGGTAAACTGGCATTCACAACCAGGGCCTTTTCAGCTGTGGTGCCTTTTGTTTTCTTTGTCATTCAGTCAAGTTCCCTTTTCATGTCTTCCTGTTCAGAGAGAACCTGATAATGCTGCTTTTATATTGTTAATGTTCTTTAATGCTGCTGTCATTGTTGTTTTGTATTGGTTTACTATTACCAACTATGCTCCCTCTCATAACATATGAACTCATGTGCATTCTGAGGATTCACAACTCTTGAACCAAAAATTAATATATATCTAGTTATAGAATTCTGGAATTGTCCCCCAAAAAAGTAACCTTCCCAAGCACTTTTTTGTTATCTTCTCATATATTATGGGACAAATCACAAAAACTGGCTGATTTCTTAAGAGTTAAATGGCCATGTTAGGATAATCTTGGTAAATTATTATGTTTTTCTACTGTGGCATAACCTGAATGACCTTCCAGTTAGTATTTTTAAAGTGAGAAATCATTACTGAGTCATACTAATTATTATAACATTGTAATAACTTTAATAGGTAATTATTATAGTTATGTGCTGATTTATGGTAACTATCCTAGGGTTTGTAGGCATAAACTATTAGGAAGTGGTTTATCAGTCCCATCTTCTGGTGCACTCTGGAACTATGGAGCAAGGCCACGGAGGTGGAAGGGCACATCACTACAGAAGCCCCTATGATCATGGCCAACTCCTCTTTCAGGAGGCACAGTAGGGGATTTGAACTCCCAAGCCAGCCACTCCAATGCAGTTGTCATACAATACACAATCTTGGTCATGTGTTCTACTAAATCAAGAGTGCTGAAGATGTTGGGAATAAGGCCCACAATAGTATATCTGTTGCATTTACGATACCAGAGGATGACTTAAGACATCTGACCACATTTATCCAATGGATATGCATGCTGTTTTATCTCAACCCATTTGTTTCCTTAAATAACTACGAAGCAGATACTTCATATTAGAATGTCTAAGCTAATTCTAGTTCCTAATCAACAAGTCTGATCAACAACCCTTACGTATCAATTTCCACTCTTGTATATGTGAACTTGCAGGAATGAATAATGCATAATTGATCACTGAAAAGAAAATGCATTGGCTTATTTAGCAGGAAAAAAAATCAGCTATGCCTTCCCATAGGTTTTAAAATTCAATCCATAAAGAACTGAGCATATAAAACAGTATAGTACTGCAGGTATTCTTTGGGGTCCCAAGAGCTTCCAGAAGTCTGTTTATATATAAAGATTATTTAAAGATGGTAGAAGACTTTCCTTTTATGAAAGAAAAAATGTTGTGACCTCAGAGTTCTATAAACTTAACCATAATTGGAAGGATTAGACTAATGTGTGTGTCAGGATGGAATTCACTCGCTCATGGGTTTTAAAGTGCATGTTTCTTCCTGCTCTGTCCTTTCCCCCATGTGCCTCTGAAAGGACTTGTGCATTTGATTTGTATCATTACCTAACAGCAATATTTGATATTTATTTAAAGCTAATCTTGATCTAAAATTAAAGCTACAACTATGTTCTCTTCTTTGGGAATACAGTATATCCCTCTGATTAAACATGCTTAATAGTGAGATGCATGCAAATGATTTCCATTCATTTTAAATATGAAAATGCCTGGACAGGCTCAAACCATACACTAAGGCTAGAGAACATGTGGCCCTCCAGATGTTGCTGGGCTAAAACTTCCATCATGCTCGGTCACTGGTTGGTTTAGCTGGAGTTGCCTTCTAGCTGGCCACACTCACCCCTGCCTAAGTTACATTTTTATGACCATATGCCAAGAGATGTCTGAGTGAATAGGGCAGCTGTGGACCTACTGCTTTGCTTAAAGTTGCTCTCTGATAGCGGTGACTCCGTTTAGGAGTAAGATACCATTCGTAGCCCCAATGCACCAACAAATAATCAGTGGCACTTATTTCAGGGTGTGCACACAAAAATAACTTGTTGAAATTTGGAGAAGCTGTTATTGATCTTCTGTTGGACTGTACTTATGAGCTCAAATAAAATGTTTATGACATCTGCAGTGTTTAACTGATAAAATTGGTTACATGTACACTTTCCCCTTGAATTGCACAGATAAGAGCAACAGTTTTAGTTACAGTATAGGTTTTTCCCCAGTGAATAAATAAAATTCCAATAAATAAATATTCAGTAAATACTGTGCTGCTGTTCATCTCCAGGAAGTGGCCTGAGCAAGGTGGGTCCCGAGGTTACTTAATAGCCTGTTATTGCCAGTGTGACAGCCCCCAGTCTGATGGTGGCTACCTGGCCACCCCTCTCTCCTGTCATGGCAGCTGGGGATTACCGAGAGGCTGACACAGGTTGGGGGAGATGTGTGTATGTTTTATAGTTATGTGGGGGGGCATATGTTATACACAGATTTAGAACTACAGGGGTGTGTGTCACCCCTGACCCCAGTGTTGTTGAAGGAAGACAGATATTAGATATTCTTTAAATTAAGTAAGACCTAGATTGCTATCAGGAGTGAGACACCAAGAAGAGCATACCTCTGGAGTAAACTTTACCTATGGGACAAACGCTGTGGAGCTTTAATTAGGAACCAGTTTTTTGTGCACATGGGTGCTGATAGAGGGAAGGGTTACGTTTATGCTGTACCTGTAAGCTCAGCAGTTGCAGCCAAAAGACCCTGAAACTCTGTGCTTTACAGGCAATTCTGGTAAGATGAACAGCTTATCTGCCAGAGAGCATCAGGGCTATTTCTTCTAGTTCTCAAATAAGAACTAGATATTAAAATATCTTATGTTACATTTATTTATTTATATGCACTCCATCTTTCCTTAAGGTGGTTTGCACAGTTCTTCAACTCCCTGCTTTATCTCACAAAAATCCTGTGAGGTAAGTCAGGCTGAGAATGTACAGAGTGGGGAAGAGGAAGCTGTGATCTTAGCAGAAAGTACACATGTTCTAGGTGGGATTTGTTACGGAAAAAAGCAAAGTAACAGAGAATTGTTTTAGAAATGATGTACACAAAGCTCTATGGCTATTAACATTTTTAGTAAAATTTAAATACAAGACAAGCTATATAAAGAGTTAATTCCTATGCAATTGAAATGCAGTTTAGAAATTCCTATGCAATTGAAATGCAGTTTAGAAATGTCTGTTTTTGGGAAATTTGGGCTTGGGAAGTGGCACAGATTGCTTTTACTACTATATTATTCTTATTTGGAATGCCTTCAAGTAATCTGAAAAATGTTCAGAAAAGGTACATTTACAAGAGGAGGTACAAAAAGGACATGCATGCACTGCAGTTTTTGTCGATATACAGAAAAGAAACTGGCAGCTGCTCAGCAGACACTTGACAGCAGCGTAGAGCAATATAGCTTAGCACTGAACACAGACCTAACCAAAAGGTTTGAGAGCAGCTCTGCCTGACAAGCGCAATACTTCTTAAAATCTTAATTTCAGTCTTAATGTGTGGCCTTCACAGAAGGTAGGCAGCTCCAATTTCTGCTGTTTTCTTCCTCAAATAAATGCCAAATGCTCAGATTCAGCAACTTCTTATAGTGCTTTTTCAAATATACCATATTATTGTCTGTTTTCTGTAGCAGAATTTCTACCTGTTTACTCAAAAGTATATGTGAATGTTACGGTAGCTGGGAAGCCACCTGTCCGTCATTGCTGTTGCGGCATGTCATCTGCCAATAGCGTGACGGAAGGTGGGACATAAGGGGTGGAGCCAGTGCATATAAGGGGAGTGAATGGGTGTGAGTGCTTTAGATAGGGACCAGATAGGGACTAGATAGGGACTGGTTAGGGACCGGTTAGGGTATTAGGGTTTGTTCCTATTGTGAAGAACTGTGCTATATAGTGAGGGTCTGTGAGAGAGTGTGTGAGTGAGTGATACTTTATTACATTGATTGCCTTATTATTTGAGTTATTAAAGTGATTTACCATTCCTTTCGTTGTAACCAATAAACACAAGTTTTTATTTTCAAAATCATTTATTAGTCTGAAGAGTCATTTGAGGGAATGGTTGGTGGCAGCGTGAATAGAGTGATTGTGTGAGAGTGACATGGCACCTCCTTTGTGACGTGTGAGGAGGCTGTCACAGTGGCGATTCCCCTTGTGGTCCCTTGTTTCTCTGGGCTCCACAAAGGTAAATACGCCCTTTTCGCTGCCACCAGGTATTCTCTTAATACCAATTCAAGTCTCACACACATAGGAGCTGATCATATAACTCAGGAATCAGGGGTTTTCAATTAAACATTCTTTTATTAAAGAACAAAAATTATAAGGAGAATCAAATATAACTGTTTCAGGCGTTCAATTATATTAAATCATGTATTCAATCACTGGTATTATTCATATTATGCTTATGCGTTCATTCTTGCTTGTTCAATATGATGTAAACTGTTCAATACTCTTTCCTAACCCCTCTAATCTACTCCTAAACCCTAAAACTCTCTCAATAACTTCTTGTCCCTGACTCTCTCTATCCCTATCTCTGATTCCAATTCCTTTTAACTGTCTCCTCCAGCTGTCCAACTGTCATTCTGACTCCGCCCCTCCTGCTCTATCCTCTGATTGACAGGCAGGGATGACATCATCTTTGAGATTCCGTTACAGTATACAACAAGTAAGCTGGGTTGGGTTGGCTCCCTCACTGCTGATTTTCACACAGAGGTTGAACAGTCATCTGTTGAAGATACTGTACTCCAGCTGCGGGAACAGATAGCCAAGAAGCCCTCTTCTAACTCTATGAAATCTTATCTTCAGTACAACTTTCATATGTAGCTATAGTCATGCCTTATATACTTCTTTTAGGGAGATAGTCTGTGGTTTATAAAGCAATTGAAGTCCTTTTTCACATATTCTGTAAGTCACTCTTGCACACAACTGTTTTTGTCAGATCATTGCTGCAGACAATTGCAGGAAGGACAACAGCTTTATTGGCATCAACTTTATTGGGAACACTAAATATGCACATCTTGGAACTCTTTATTAGTATGGATTATTTTAAAAATCTTCCTCCTAAAGCATAGAGGCTCTGGCAATAGGGGAAGTATTAGCAGAAGCTTCATGCACCTTTCTGAGAGCGAGATGAGAAGGTGGCTCAACAACCACAAGGACTTTCAAATCTTCCACAGTCATAGTTGAAAGCAAATAAGAGCTTCTAGGCAATGGCAGGACAGGTTACTTATTTTGACCGATCTTCTGTTAATCAATATTAAGGTTCCCATACAGTGATATCCATTTCAGACAAGCTCAACATCCATCAGTGCTGATAGTATTTTGGGGAGGCACTCTGTGAATATATCTGTGTATATCAATATACTGAATTTAGTATTTTTCTCCAACATAGAGAAGTGAGGGCTGTTCTGGAGTTGGAGGGTGAATCACCACAGACGGTACTTGTTTCTTTCATTGTTTCTTTATCCTTAATACCAGTGATACTGGTTCCAGGGCATCTTGGTGAGCTTCAGTTGGATCTGACTTTGATGGATTGTTGTGTGGAATTGATGGTCTGTCGGATTGAACATCTTCCATGAGTAGCTTTTTAGATACAGTTTTACAAATGGATGCTGTTGACGTTGGTACCTGTTGTTTTGATATCACCTGCACAGCAGACACACTTTTTAAAATGCCCATCTGCTAGAGGGATCTTGCTGCCACAAGCAATACAGTTCTTACATGGGCCCTTAAGGGCCATAAAAGTTGGGAAACTTCCAAGTGATAACAAACCAACGTTGTTTTTTAAACAGACAAAATAAAGTGTGGGGGGTATTCAAAACTATTTAAAACTTTGCAATATGTGGAAAAACATTTCCTCTGGATCATTCCCAAGGTATTGCGTCAGCACTGGCTGAGAGGGAATTGAAGAGCAGTTGTTGGGTGGAGGAGCATGTGCACTGAGGAGGTGGAGCACCAACTTAGCTCTGGAATATTCAAAGTTCTAAAAATGGGGGCAGTCCAAGCAAAACCTTATAACTTTGAAACCAGGCTTTGAACCAGCACCAAATTTAGCCAAATAGTTGTAATGTTATTATTTTTAAAGTATAGACATGCTTTACCTCCAGCCTTGTGCAAACATTGGTGACTTTTTTTTTATTATTTAAAACAAATGAAATAAATTGAAAATACCAGTCTTGCTTATCTTGAAAGAGAAGGGCTGGTCTTAGCCACCTGTTTTTATTTGGAAGGAATCTAGGCCCCAGGGTGAAATATTATTATTCAAAAAAGTCCTTTCAAACGGTAAAACAGTGACTTTCTTATAAACGGCCTTAACAACTAGAAAGCTAGAAACATTGTTGCAGCCTGTGAGCTGGGAAGGGAGATTTGAATATCTGGCGCTGCCAATCAGGAGACAATTAGGAAGAAAACCTTTTAAGTCCTTCCTGGCCAAACAGGCTTTTGTAGCTGGCAAAGGGATTCTGTGTAAAAATATATTTTAAAATGTATTACAAAAGAACGGAGCACAAATATTCAGTCACTCATTTAAGCTGTGAAATTTCTGTCTGCTTTGCGGCTAGGGATGGTCTTACTTGATGTTAGCAGAGCTCTGGTGCCTATATGCTGTTATAGTTTCAACCTTTCCACCAATCCTGTCACTATACAATTGTCTAGTAATTACTAACATTCAAAAGGTGACACCAAAAAGGGGAAATCCCAGAAGCTGAATCCTTACTTCATCTATTAACTACTTCTCATGTAAACACAAAGTAACTGTCAGGGTTGTTTTCATTACTAACATTCAAAAGGTGACACCAAAAAGGGGAAATCCCAGAAGATGAATCCTTACTTCATCAATTAACTACTTCTCACTCAAACACAAAGTAATTGTCAGGGTTGTTTTTCAACATGTATGAATAGCAGTGAGCATGAGGATATCCTGTAGACCTTCTTGGCTCCTGCCAAAGGTGGTGTTAACATTCAGTCTGCCCTTTGCTATAGAAAGCTTGATGTTCTTTTCCTTGCTGGCAATATGGGCACAATATTGTTCAGCAATATGCAGCCATTTCCTGGTGTTGTGAATCATGAATACAAAAACCACAATATCTCACATTTTAAACCCAGAGATTTTTTTGAAGAACTGAATTAACACCTCCTGAATGCCACACATCTACACGTGCTGAATCTGCAAGAGAAACTGAATCATAGAGCAGTTGTGTTTGGATGGATGGCAGAAAGTAGGTGAAAGAGTTTAAGCAGCAGTTGGCTGACATGAGGACACAGTACAAGAACAGTTGATATTTTAATTAAGCTTAAATCTGAGAAATGACAGCAATAAATTAACCATATAGGAACGTAGAAGACCCGTGCCTTTCTAAAGCAATATAGTTCAAAGGGAAGAGAAATATAAGACTGGGAACAAAATATACAGAGACAGTCTAGTCATTTTGTCATTGAATTTGTTCTCTGAAAACAAAATTCAATTATGCACAAACCTGTGCATAAGAATCAAAATATAATTAAGAGAAAACAGATTTACAGTCTCGAAATATAGTCCACAAAATAAAGCCCCTCAGAAGCTTGTCTGTACACTTGTAGATTAGTACCTAACTTTCCCTTTATGGACTAATTGACAAAGACAACATGGTCCCAGAGAATCAGGATTTAATGTTTGTATCTACAATACTGGTCCTAGAAATTCATCTGCAACAGGTTAGCAATGTTTTCTAGGAAGTATAAACCCCCAAAAAGAAACAAAAGTTAAAAAAAAGAAAAACAGAAGAAATTATTAAGCAATCCTGGCTTTCAGCCCAGGTAGCAAAGAAAGAAAAAGGGCAGCCCTTCTGTAACCACCACATTCTTAAGCTTTTAAAATATCCTCTACCATACCACACATCTAGATACCTCTTACTGTTCTAGCAATGAGGTATATGTAGGTTCCACAGCCATTCATGTACTTATGTGCCCTACATTGTGGTTGTTAACAGAGTTCTTTAAATTTCTGTTGAGACCTTGAAATTCTAACCAATATTTTTTTAATCTTTGTAAAATGATGAACAAATTTCAGTTACTTGGAAACAGAGTGGATGTTTTAGTATACTGATCTTAAGACATCTTCACATTTCCTCAAGGCTTCGCCTGATTGCCTCTTGAAATTCTGCATCTGCATAGAAACATCAGAATGTGAAGAATGAAACATAGAATCCTTATTCAAGTGTTTGCCTAAACATGCAAATATCACTGTTAGAGATGGAAGAGGTGGAGATAACTCACCCTTCCGCTGCTACTGCAGGCTTCATGTTCCCTTCCAACCGCTCCGGAGCTCGCGGTGCTACTGCAGGCTTCATGTTCCCTTCCAATCGCTCCGGAGCTCGCGATTGGCGAGACACTCTTTGACCTGGCAGGGAGGCTCGTCGTCCCACCTCCTGCCAGGAGGGTTTAGCCGACCGTAAGCTCTGGAGCGATAGGAAGGGAGTTGGATCCTCATTATCTCCACCTGTGCGCAGGGAGTGCAGAGCCCGCAGCAGCAGCGGAAGGGTGAGTCGACAGTCCGGCCCCAGGGAGCTGGATCCTAGTTATCTCCACCTGTGCGCAGGTATTCGTATACAAATACCCCCATATCTAATCACTGGTGGGCAGATGGGGACATATGTATATTCCATTCTATGAATATCAAAATTCCTCAGACACCGGTGAGATTTTTGTACATTGAGTGCAAGGACATATGTATATTCCATTCTATGAATATCACAATTCCTCAGACAATTCCTCTGAATGAGGATGTTGGGAGCCTAGCTGAGTGTGCTTATAGATCCCTGCAACTATGAACTCTGATAAGGTAAAAAGATCTTGCAAATGACCAGACAGATGGTGGGCAGCAGAGCTTATGCCCAAGTCAGGATCACAACCACAAATACAGCCCTATTAATTTGTTCAGTCAGAAGAGTGCATAGGACTAGAATTTAGTCAAAATCTAATTGTTATTTTCAATCAGAGTAAACCCAATGAACCAATGGGATCTACATAAGAGCCAAGTTATCTTTCAACAAATTTACTCTGTTGGGGACAAGCAGATAGATTTAAACCTTAGTCTGGGTATTCACTCATTTTCAGTCTCCTAATCAGAGCCTTGCTGAAGGTTTCTTGTTAAACTGTCAGGTGAATATCATTGTTATTCGTACCAACCAGAATATATGTCTACCAAACGTGTAAACTGTAGCCCTATTTTCTGAAGCCAGTATGATCCAAAGATAAAAAGTATCTTGGGAGATAATCTAATACATGCTTGTCATGTTCCTGCCTGTCCCTTGGTTGTTTTGCCAATCAAAGGGCACAAGCTACATGTCGTTTTGCTGCCACCACCTGATTACATCAACATTATGTATTATTAATAATAGAGGTCCAGGCAATGTGCCATTTTCAAAAGAACCAAATAGAAGTTGTTTATTGTTACAGGTGACAATGGTACAATTGATGTCATTAATTCTTAACAAAACATTCTTCTTCATACACCCTCAACCGCCAACCCTTTCTGTACTCCAAACTCCCAAATTCAAACTCTAATCTCTCAATCTAAACTCTCAATCTCTAAAACTCCAATCTAAACTACTACTACTCCTGCAGAGAATCTTATAACTCGTGATTCTGCCTCTCTAGCACTCTCATTAGTCCATGCAGATAGCATATTAATATTCATTACTTGGGCAGATGCCACATTCCTCCCCCCTTAATAGGTTTGTGACGGGAGGGGAAACTTAACAATTTGCCCTCCTAAACAAACAACAACGTATGGAAGAATGCAAATATTAACCTCTTACATTACTTATATTAATAAGGATTACATTACATTACTCTTACATTACTAAGGATACTTACTGTTACTTTTACCATCACTATATATAATTCTGTCTATTAATATCCAAGCAAACCTTGCACTTTAAGCTTATCACATAACTATCACACAAACAGATCAGTTAATATCGAACTCAGATGAAAACAAAGAATTTAGTCATTTGGCCTTTGAGACAAGGCACCAGCAACCACATTTTGAGTCCATTTAACGCTGCAGATTTCAAAATCAAAGTCTTGTGAAATCAGCGTCCATCTCATCAATTTGCTGCTGTTGGCTCGAATAGTCCTTAGCCATAGAAGAGGACAGTGGTCAGTGCACAAGACAAATTTTCTCCCCCAAATGTACAGTTTCAGCTTTTGCCGTGTCCATACGATAGCTACACACTCTTTTTCTATTGTGGACAAGTGTTTCTCACCCAACTGAAGTTTCTTGCACAAATTTCCTTCTCCTGTTTTCTTGCTCAAATTCCCTTTCCCTTTCAAGTTCTCTGATTTTTTCTCTTTTCAATTCTTGCTCAAATTCCCTTTCCCTTTCTCTTTCTCTTTCTTTAATTTCTAGTTCCCTGAGTTTGTATTCTTGTTTCAACTTCAATTTTTCAAAATCTTGGGAGCTTTGGATATTTTCTCCCTTTTCAGCAATTATTACTGAGCCCACAGTTTCTTTTTCACTTTGAATTTGAGGGCTCCCATTTCCCCCAGTACCTTGGAGCTCAATCTGTGCTTCCATAACAAACTTTGTACTTCGTTTGGGGGGCATAAATAATAGAATTTCTTATTAAACTGGACTGGTTCTTTTCCCTCACAGGAGACAAACAGACCTTTCTTTCAGTGGCTTTCCTTATAACTAGGTTGCACTTTTCCCAGCAGCTCGCCTCGGCTACTCCCAAGCCCACAACCCTTGCCACATATTTTCCTGTCTGGGCGATTCTTGTCTCCAGACACAAGAACAACTTTCTGCTTAGCTTTTATTATCACCTCAGATTAATCCTGATCTAGGCTTCCACTCCATCCGCTACTGCTCTTTGCCCTCAGAGCTCCGGATTTTGAGCTAGCAACTTGGCCTTGTAAATCCTGAGGTAAATGGTTTCTCTTGAGTAGGTATCTTCCCTATCTTAGGATTCTCCAGATCTGGGTCCAGAAGCCCTGAAACTAAGTCTTCCACAAGACTCTAACAGGTAACCACTTCTTACCACAGATCCTAACCTGTCCTAGCTAGGAATACCTTCCAACTCAAGCCCATTCAGTTTTTCACTAGACTGTTTCACATCCCAGTGCTGTGCCACCAATTTGTCATGTTCCTGCCTGTCCCTTGGTTATTTCACCAATCAAAGGGCACAAGCTATGTATCGTTTCACTGCGTTATTTCACCAATCAAAGGGCACAAGCTAGGTATCGTTTCACTGCCACCAGTTGATTACATCAACATGATGTATTATTAATAATAGAGGTCCAGGCAATGTGTCATTTTCAAAAGAACCAAATAGGAGTTGTTTATTGTTATAGGTAACAAAACATCCTTCTTTACACACCGTCAACTGGTCATTAACTCTTAACAAAACATCCTTCTTTATACACCCTCAACTACCAACCCTCTCTCTCCTCCAAACTCCCAAATTCAAACTCTAATCTCTCAATCTAAACTCTCAATCTCTAAAACTCCAATCTAAACTCCTCCAGCTGCTGCAGAGAATCTTATCTCATGACTCTGCCTCTCCAGCACTCTCATTAGTCCATGCAGATAGTACATTAATATTCATTACTGGGTGGACACCACAATGCTGCTTATTATATCTGCATCATGCCCATTTGTAAAAAAAAGGAGAAAAGTGATTGTTCAAAGTAGAGAGGAGAGATGTATGTATGTAATTCCCACACAGTGCCAGAGGTTTATAGCCTTATGCAATCCTGGGACATATCCCACCAATTGGCTAATCGCTCTTAGAAGCCACCAACTGTCCAGTCATTCCTAGAGGCCTATGTACAAGCACCTCTGGTTGTACAGGTGTCCTCTGCTTTACATCTCCAATTGAAGGAAATCAATATTATGCATATAAAATTTTTGCCTCCAGAACACCAGCTGCTTATTTTGTGGGTCATCTCCTTGCTTCTCTGTCATCCATTTATCTTTGCTCCAATGCAATTAGTGCTGAGTACACCAATATATGGGGGGAGGGGAATAAGACTAATCACTGATTGGTATCAAACTGTTGCAGCCATTGATCTTTCAATCAAGATTATACAGTACATTGAAAACTAAGGCATACCTTTTTCTTCCTTTGCATCTTGCAAGGAATGCTGCATTACCGCTCGAGTATCATCTGTTTCACTTTCTGTAAGCAGACAGTAATAAAGAGAGGTTACCTACCTGTAACCATGGTTTTTCTAGTGGTCCTCTGTGAATTCACACAAGTGGGTTGTTCTGCGCCTGCGCGGGACATTTTGGAAGTTTCTAGAGCTTAAAAAACATTTGACAATGATACATCCCCCCATGGAGAGCATGCTCCGCCTTCCAAAGATCCCCTCAGTTCCTTCCATAGTCCGTCCGCTGTCAAGGCAGTATAATAAAAGGCAATTTGACGGACAGAGGGGAGGAAGGGAGAGATGTGTGAATTCACAGAGGACTACTAGAAGAACCATGGTTACAGGTAGGTAACTTCTCTTTCTTCTTCATGGCCTCTGTGAATGCACACAAGTGGGTGACTGACAAGCTCACGTATCGGATAGTGGGACATCACGGTAGCAGAGATGTCAGGATTGCTCTGCCAAAAGCAGCATCATTCTTTGCCCTGACATCAAGGCAATAATGCTTGACAAAGGTCGAAGGGTTGGACCAAGTCACTGCTTGGCAGATGTTTGGTAGTTCTATCCTACGATGCAAAACAGTGGATGTTGACAATGCTCTGGTGGAATGAGCTTTTAAGTGTTTAGGAGGTGTCTGGCCTGAAAGTTCATAAGCCAATGAGATAGTCTAAATTTTCCAGCGAGAGATGGTTTGAGAAGTGTTCAGGAGGTGTCGTGCCTGAAAGTTCATAAGCCAATGAGATAGTCTGAATTATCCAGTGAGAGATGGTTTGAGCTGATGCTGGAGTGCCCTTGTGAAGACTTTGGAAACACAGGAAAAGCCTTGAAGACTTCCTAAATGCCTTTGTTCTATAGGTATAAAAGACTACAGACCTTCGGCCATCCAGCATATGGAGCATGTGCTTGATGGAAGTAGAAGGAGAAGAAAATAGAGTTAGTAAAATCTAGGGTTGATTTAAGTGAAAATTAGAGACAATTTTGGGTAGGAATGAAATATCAAAATCTAGGGTGACCCTGTCAGGAATGAAATATCAAAATATAGGGTGACCCTGTAAGGATGAAATTGCAGGTAAGGTGGATCTGATCAGAGAGCTGTTAGCTCACTGGCATGCTTGGCAGATGTTATTGCCACAAGAAATGCCATTTTCAGGGATAATAATTTTAAATTACATGTGGCCATAGGTTCAAAGGGTGGTTTGGTAAGAGAATTTAGGATCATCTGTAGAGACCACTGGGGCACAGGTTGTTGTGTTGGAGGTCGAATATTTCAGAGTCCTTTGAAAATCTTTTTAAAGTTGGATGTGAAAGAACTTTTGCTGATTGGGAATGTAAAGGTTGATGGGCCACATAAACCTTCAAGGTTGAGTGTGACAGTCCTAAATCGAAGAGGTAAAGAATAAAGGTAAGTATTGTTCTGAGGGAAACTGGTACTGCAATCAAATTCCGAGATTCAGTGAATGAATTGAAAGATTTCCATTTCTTTTGATAGAGCTTTTGTGTAGATGGCTTTTGAGCTCGGTCTAAGACGGTTTGAAAGGTGGGAGTATCCTCCAAGCTATCAGATTAAGAGACTGGATGCCGGGATGAAGGATCGCTCCATTGCTCTGTGACAGGAGGTTGGGTATCAATGGTAGATGGAATACGTCCGTCAACAGCAATCTCAGGTGGGTGAACCATGGTTGTCTTGGCCAACAAGGAGCTACCAGTATCGCACTGGCTTGCAACTGACAGATTCGAATGATTGATTTCTGAATCAGAGGGACTGGAGGGAACAGGTATAGTAGTTCTCTGGACCAGTCTATCATGAATGCATCACCTAGTGATTTGGGGTCGGTGCCAGCTTGAGAGCAATACCGGTATAGTAGTTCTCTGGACCAGTCTATCATAAATGCATCGCCTAGTGATTTGGGGTCGGTGCCGGCTTGAGAGCAATACCGCTGACACTTGGTGTTGTGCTCTGATGCAAAAAGATTGAAGGATGGGTGTCCCCATTGATGGCAAATGATTTCGAAGATGTGATTGTCTACTGTCCACTTGTGTGTTACTTGTGTGTTCACAAGTGGACAGTAGTGTGTAGGGAGTCAGCTTAAGTAATCTGCGATGTAATTGACCTCTGGTTGTTCTGGGTTTTTCGGGCTCTAAAGATGCCGGCCACAGAGACTGGCGAAACGTTAGGAAGAACAACCTTCAGAACATGGCCAAAGAGCCCAAAAAACCCAGAACAACCATTAGATCCCGGCCGTGAAAGACTTCGCGAATAAATTAATTGTCCTCTGTTGAAACTTGGACAGCCACTGGAAAGATGTGGTGGAGAAAACACCATTCCCATAATTCTATGGTGAAATACAGAAGTGAGAGGGAGTGAGTACCTCTTTGTTTGTTCACATAATATATTGCCGTTGTATTGTCTGTGGCTAACTGTACTGCTCGTCCTTTGATGATTGGTAAGAAGGCACAAAAAGCTTTTATGACTGCTAACAGTTCTAAGTGATTGGTATGTAGTAACTGTTCTTTCTTTGTCCACAGGCCGCGTATTTTGAGTCCTTGACATTGGGCTTCCCATCCCAAAGGGCTGGCATTGGTGGTTAACTGTATAGATAACTGTAGAGGTTTGAAGGGTCTGGCTACTGCTAGATGCAGAAGGAATGTCCACCAGGTGAGTTGGTTTGCAAGTTCTGGTGTTACAGTGAGGCGTTTCAATTGTTGGTCTGTCATGGGGTCAAACAAGGACAGGAACCACACTTGCAATGATCTCATCTTGAGTCTTGCATGCTGAATGACAGCTGTGGTAGACGTCATGAGCCTGAGTAAATGTTGGGCTTTGTGTGTTGATACCGATGTCATAGTTTGGAATGGTCAAATGGCATGTTTTAATTTGGTGATTCTTTCTTGAGGTAAGAATGCTCTGGCCTGGAGAGAATTGAAGTAGACGCCGATGTAATTGGCGGTTTGTGCTGGTTGTAGGTGAGATTTGGTAGTGTTCATCTTGAGTCCCAGGCTGTGTAGGGTTTTGAGGGTTATTTCTGTGGCTCTGACTGCATCTTGGTATGAGGAAGCCATGATCAACCAATCGTCGATATAGGGGGAAATGACTACTCCTTGAAGTCGAAGATAAGCTGCAATCGGTGCATTCATTTTGTGAATGTTCTTGGTGCTGTGGATAATCCGAAGGGGAGGAAGCAAAATTGGTATGATGTCCTGTCGAATCTGAATCGGAGGAATTTTTGATGGAGCGGGTGAATTAATATGTGAAAATAGGCATCTTGTAAGTCAGTGACAATGAACCAGTCTCCCTGTGAAAGAAGGGGAATAATAGTGTTGAGAGTTAACATACAGAACTGTCAAGGTCGAATAAACGTGTTAAGGTTCCTGAGATTGAGGATGGGATGGAGTCCTCCATCCTTTTTAGGGACCGTAAAGTATCGGAAATAAAATCCGTCATGAGATGACGGTGAGGGGCCTATGAGTATGGCTTGTTTTTGCAGGAGTGATGATACCACTTCCTGAAGAGCCAATGAATAAGGGGTGGTCCTAATGGTGCCTGGGGGTGGGGGCGTGAAGAATTCAATAAAGTAACTGTTTTGAATGATGGATAATACTCATTTGTCATTGGTAGTTTTTCTCCATGCTGGTAAAAAGGGGTGAAGTCTTGTATGAAATACCGATGGTAGAGGGTTATGGACATTTCTTACCCTTTCTTTGTTGCTTCCAAAAGCACTGCCTTCTGTTTTGTGACTGTTGATTTCGAAAGGGTTGAGCAGCAGATGTCAATCCTGTAGGGTAGGGTCTGTCATAAGGCTGTGGTCGAAATGAACGAAATGGCTGTTGATATGGGTGATATTGTTGTTGGTAATATGGTTGTTTTCAATATTGTGTTCTCTGGTATCGATAAGGTTTTTGTGGTGTGTAGGACCTTGCGGTCTTCCTTATTTTGTGAATGTTTTCCATTAGTTCATGTTTTTGAATTAAAGAGACCGATGACATCGAATGGTAGATCCTCGATTCTTGTTTTAGTATTGTCTAGGATGTTTGATGAACGGAGCCGTGCGTGTCTTCTGAGTGCGATGGATGTAGCCATTGCCTTGGATGCTGCATCAGCTGTATGTCGTGCAGCTATTCGCTGTTGTTTTTGCCAATGTTGATGCTTCTATGTAAGTATTGATTACAGTGGTGCCTCACATTACGATGTTAATTCGTTCCAGCGAAATTGCTGTAGAACGAAAATGTTGTAATGCGAAATTAAAAAGCCCATAGAAACGCATTAAAACCGGATTAATGCGTTCCTAGGGGCTTGAAACTCACTGTCCAGCGAAGATCCTCCATAGCACGGCCATTTTTGCTGCCTGTGCAGCGAGGAATCCGTCCCAGAAAAGAGCGGGGAGCCTTTTTCACCCGGCGGCCATTTTGAAACTGCCGATCAGCTGACCGAAAATCATCACTTTGCGAGAATCGGTTCCCGAAACAGGGAACTGATCATCGCAAAGCGAAATTCCCCCATAGGAAACATTGTTTTGCAGTCGCTTTTGCGATAGCAAAACCTTCACCGTAAAGCGATTTCGTTGTAAAACGGAGCGCTCGTAATGTGAGGCACCACTGTATTTCTGTTCTGTTGATACGCCCCCATGGCTGCTTGGTAATTAGCAACCCTCATTAGTAAAGAAGTAAGTTAATAAAGCCTTCGACCTAAGATATCAATTTTGCTTCCCTCTTTGTTAGTTGGTGCCACAGATTACTTGTTCCAGGCTCTGTATTGAGTTGATTTGACAACAATAGACTTTGGTGTCAGATGTTTCAAAAGAAATGACGTGTCCGGCCCATGAGTTTTATAATGATTTTCTACCCTGCATGGAATTTGAAGTGATGATGGGGGTTTGTCCCATGAGTCCTTTATCAGTTCAAACATGGCTGATATAAAACTCAAACTCAATTGAGGGGTTTGTCTTGGTTTAAATCATCAAAGACTAAGTCCTTTTTCTGGGTGAGTGGTTCTTGAATGTCCAATTGTAGTGATTTAGCCATCCTAAGGATTAATTGAGAGTATGAAGTAAAATCTTCTGACAGTGAGGGAGGGTGATTCTCTCCAATATCAGATGTAGGGGTAGGAAGGTTAGGAGGTGATTCTCTGGATGCAGTGGAGACGGAATCTTGAGATGATGTACAAGAAGTAGAGGGTGAATGATGTGTTCTGGAAGTTGATGTTATTGGTTCTTGGGATGAATAGATCAGTATCGGTTGTACTTCGGTGTCGGTGTGCAAAGAAGGACCTACATAGGTTGTGGATACATGTAGAGAAGAATGCTTTATTTGCTTTGTTTAGTTGGCATCAGTGCTTCTGGTACTGAGGTGGGTCTTTTAAGGACAGATTTTGATTGTGGATGAGTCGGTGCTTGATATGTGTGTGCTGAGTGTTGCCGCCACCTTGAAGGAGATAGTGATCTCAATGCTGAATGCCACGATGGAGAGGCATAGCGAACTCTCCTAGGCTCATCATAGTGGAGATAGTGATCTCAATGCTGAATGCCACAATGGAGAGGCATAGTGAACTCTCCTAGGCTCATCATAATACATAGCGTCAGCACACATTCCCGGGTAATACGGGTCATAGTAATGTTGTCTGTAATAACAGTCAGGTCTAATAAAGTATTGGTGCTCGTCAGGGTAATAGTACCTCTCTTCATGTTGAGGGGCATATTGAGATGGAGAAATATGCCGTTTCTTTTCTTTATGCTTGCATGGAGAGTGTCGGGAGGATTCTAATTATGACACTTGCACCAGTATTGCCCCCCGGGTAAATGAGGGCTGGAATGGGCCGAAGCCAGGCTGGAATGAATCTCAGCCTGTGATTGGCCTGTGCTAGGCGAAAGGCTAGCTACTGACAGTGCAGCCTGTGCCAAAGTCAAAGTATGTTCATCCCTGTTGGATGTTGAGACAGGAGCCTCTCTCGATGATTCCTCCAGAATTGGAGATGGAGGCACAGCTTGTGGCGGCTTGGTATGTGTGGATTTTGATCTTTTCTTTGGTTTAGATGTCTTAATTTTGTCCCTTTTCTTTTTAGCAGGTTCCTCAAAATGGGTTCGAGCTTTGGAGATGGATGTCAAGCTCGACTTTGAGGAAACCTTAGAGGTTTCTTTCTGCCTTGTTGGAATTGGCGTCGGACTCGATATCGAGCAAGCTGTTGGGCTCCACATGGAACTAGCTGTTTCAGGATGGGTTGAATCTTTGGACGCTGGAGATGTTAGTGTTTCCATAGTCGGGTGAAGAGATTTCTCCCACAAGTAAGATCTTAAATGCTATAGTCTTAATTTTATTGCTGGTTTTGTATTTTTTTGCATTCAGGGCACGCTTGGGTCTGGTGTTCTTCTCCAAGGCAAAACAAGCATTTATCGTGCCCGTCCATTAGCGGTATTTTCTTAGAACAAAGAACGCACCACTTAAACGGTCCCTGAGGGGCCATAAAAATAGGAAAGGGAAAACCGGCATTGTGGGGGAAGGGTGTGTGTGTAGAAAAACGTGGGAAAATAAAAAAACTTGCAAAAGGATAAAAAAAAGAGGCTAATCACAAGGAAATGTCAAATGATAATAATTATAATATAATCTAAGATAATCAATTAGGAAATTGGATATTTTCTATATGTACTACTTGCTTTTTCTCGCTCTAGCTGTTCCAACGCGGTAAAAGAGGCTAATCACAAGGAAATGTCAAACGATAATAATTATAATATATTCTAAGACAATAATTTAGGAAATTGGATATTTTCTATATGTATTACTTGCTTTTTCTCGCTCTAGCTGTTCCTGTTCTACCAACGCGGTGGAAAAAAGGAACTGAGGGGATCTTTGGAGGACACAGCATGTGCTCCACAGGGGGATCTATCATTGTCAAATGTTTTTTAAGCTCTAAAAACTTCCAAAACACACTGGTGCAGAACAACCCACTTGTGTGCATTCACAGAGGCCACGAAGAATAATGTTTGAATACAACAATACTGCAGCTCTTATAACCAGCCTTCCTCTTTAGAGTTTTGCTGATCAATTAATAATTGCCTATCATGTCCTCTGTGTAAAAGCCAATAACTCTCAAGGAAAGCAAAACACTCATCATGTTCAGGGCTAGGTATTCTCATGAATGCAAACTCAAAACCAGTTAAAGTCTTGTTCTCTTTAGTCCTCTTTAGTTTTGGCAACCTAAAAGTTTCTAGTAAGCAATGTCAGGGTTAATTTAATGAATGACCTTGGTTGCTTTTTTAAAGGAGTACAACCATAATACACATCTCTTGTCCCTTCCTTGTTAGTACGCACATACTGCTGACTTGTGGGATCTGCTTTGTTTTTCACTAAAATCATGAGATTCACCAACAGGAATAAAACAGTGGTTCTAGGAGGTGGACAGGGAAGTAAGAAAGATGTTTTTGACATGCACATGCTTAGCCCAGGTGGTTTTTTTTTCCATAACAGAACTGGAGCACGCAGACAAATTCTGATCACCAACTAGCTCCTGTTCCTCCACTCCCACCCCAAGAAGTTTTTTTTAAAATTTCAACAGCAAAACAGAGATGGAAAGAAAGATTTTCCATTTTCACTGCTGTCCAGCCACTGGCAATCTACCAGTCACCCAGAGGTCTTCCAGGCGATCCTGATCTCCCTTCTGCCTATTTTTGTGTCAAGAATGCTCTCTACTCATTTGGTGCAAAATTATTTGTAAAGAAATTCATAGGAAATATAAATATTTTAAATCTTTTATCAAGTGATGCATGGCTGGTATAAAAAGGTACCTTTGGCTGTATCTGAAATGCTGTTTAATAAGGCACACATCATATCAGCATCAATCTTGTGAGGATCTAGAATGCGGGTTGCCCTTTGAGTCATCTTAAGCTGGCTTTCCAACTCTAGAAAGCTTTTGTCTCCGGAAAGAATTGTGAAGGGAATATGCTTTGGCAGATGTTCATCCAGACGGCCCACCTATGAAACAGAAAGGTGCTAAATAAAACTGGAAACTCAGAGTTGGTATGGAGACATTTGGTACCACATTTCTCAGTAGAAACACTTCGCAAATCTTAAGGGTAAATTCCTATGAAGATAATTTAGTCCAATCTTTTATATTGCAATATGCTTAAGAATATACCGGCAAGATTAAGTGTCATGGAGTAACAGGCCGAGACCTTTCTCCTCCACCAGAAAGTCATCCCCACAGGAGGACAATTCCATCTATCCCTTTTCTCAGTCTCTCTCAACTCAGATCTATGATCTTCTACACAATCAGTTACCAGTTATTATATATTCTGGAAAGAGATGAAATATTATATCTCTGGTGGGCAATGGTTCTATTCTACAAGTTTCAACAAGGAAGAACGATGCCTCTCCTCAATAGCAGGAAATATACATGGTTTAAAACTTTCTCACTGTGACATACACACATAGATACTATAAAGCATGAATCACAGCACAATGCCAGGAGGGATCATTATCTTCTGCTTTGCTCCTCTGTGCATCTCATGACCAGCTCACTACTATTTGGGAATATTACGTTAGTTAGCTACAGTGTAAGCACTAGAAGTGCAGTTTTACTTCTTGTTCTCTTTATGTGGCCACTATGGGTGTGATCAGATGGGCATTTAGCCCATTGTTTGAGTCGCTGTAGGGATGGACTGATTTGTTCCTTTTCCGGTGATCATATGACATAATTGCTGGAGCAAACCAGCCTGTCCCCAGAGCGGTCCCACCCAAACTTTCTAGGTCCCTGTCAGGGGCTTCTAATTTTTTGTGCCAGTAAGATAAGTCCTTTTTGGTTCCTTTCCAGCATGTGCTATCATTGGAAATATACCATATGAGCCTTCCTTTTTGAATTTTCCAGACCATTAAATGGCTGAAGAGAAGAGCCACTTCAGGATTAAATACTTCCCCTGCTCTGTGGAGGTGCCGATATATATATGGTATATATATATGGTATTAGGTGTATATATATATGGTATTAGGGCAACAGTTCTTCCCAGAAGTGGGAAGAGACAGGAGGGAACAATGAAGGGCAAAGTTCCCTTTAATATTCCAGAGTGCTGGACAGGTGTACACAACCAGAAGCAAATGGGAGGAGACACTGGCTCAGCTGCACAGCCCTGATGCAGCACTGCAGGTGCATGCAGGTTAGAGGGAACGTTAACAAAGGGTATTTATTTTATTTTCATGGTTTGTCATAAAGGTTAAATCGAGAAACTGCCCACAGCCAAATGTACTACTGATGAAACACTAATCTCTGTTTTAAAAAGGTCAGAAAACAACTTAGGCTGGAATTTGCATAAGTGGTCAGCCTCATAAGAGGTCATATTTTATTATAAGCAAAATGAAGGCATACCGCCCCCAGAAACACTAAGAAAACTAAAGAAAAACAGAAGCTGGAATCCTGTTACCTACTGATTGGTTTTTACCTATTGATTTTTAGAACATCATCTATAACCAAAGTTAAATACTAGTCACTTAAATTACTCTCCATTTATTTTTTCAACATTGAAGCTTGCAAACTTACATGAACACAGATTGCAAAATCAGCTGCCTCTCTCCTTGTGCCACAACGTGGATGGAGAAAGAAACACCCAATCTTGTTGAGATAATTAAAAATCTTGCAATTCACAGGTGGCTTCCAGTTATTATGCCCACCTAAGCAATGAAAGAAGCCAGCTATTGTAAGAAATTTCATTTAAGCCTTGTTAAAACAGTTTTAAAAGTTACAATTATGTAAAATCATAGAAATACAAGTCTGATATACTAGACAGCTAATTCTTCTGTTTACCTTGGAAGCCCCAGATAAAAGTTCCTTGGTTAAGGGTCGCAGGCAACTGATGGAAAAGGTTTCCCCAGTTATCTAAATCCATCATTATAATATGAGTCATAGTGCACAAATAATCAAGGTCAGGTAGATCTCCATCATCTAGGTTTGAGAGAGGGATTGGGAAAAGAAAGCAGAATAAAAATATATTTGTATTTTACCTGTGGTAAGAATCAGTATTCAAGACAGCTTTCAAAATATGAAATCATATTCTGAATGATATAATTTTAATCAATGTAATTTAAATCATAAAAACATACTCTTTTGATAGAATACCCACCTAAGTTAATCAGTCATCTTAGAACTGCAGAGCCGGAAGGGACCCTTATGGATCATCAACCCAACCCCTGTCGAGGAGGGCCAGTGGAGAATCAAACGAGCCAGATACCTAAAGCAGAGCCTCCAAGGAATCTTTTTATTATAAATTTCCCCTTTTTTTCAAGTGGTACCCATTAACTTTAGATGATTATTTGCCAAGGAGGAGGAAGTCACTATAAGCAGTGAGGCAAGAACACAGACAAAAAGCACAAGCATATTTATTGGCAAATGCATGCTGTGATGAAGCTAGTTTGTCGTGATTTTGCAGATATACCATTTTTTGGGACCTAGGAGATTGATCTCTTTTCTGTTAGTTTCTTTTCCCTTCCTTTCACTCCATCCTCCCAAGAGTACAAGACTAAAGTTTTCCACTGACCCCATCAAACAAAAAATACTATCAGGCTGCAAAACTCAGTTGTCACAAAACAGGGCACATATGAATATGGGGAAAAATGGCTAACTCACTCTCTTATGGATATGGATTGCAATGAGCAGTGACAAAAGTGCAAATACTGAAAAAAAATCAGCCTAAAAAAATCTCACATCACTGTGTACACACGGACAAATAGTCTGCATTACTTAGGCAGAAGGTAAGAAATGTTGTAATTTCATCTAATCAACTTCTTTACCAAAGGTGGTATTGGCAGCCATAATAGTGACATGATTTCTATTCACCTTGGCCAAGAACATCAGAATGGGGCTTACCTTGTTCTTTTTTTATATCTCTTAGTTTCATCTTTTTTCCTGAAGCAGACGTAGTTGTATCGACAGAAATCTTCAGTTTATCAGGTTTGCTGTCTGTGCTTCCACAGGCAGAGAACTGGAAGACGTCACTTTCTGTCTGAGACCCAAAGGCTAGTTGGGGTTTTAAGAAGCAATGTTCGGCATGAAAGTGCTGATGGGCAACTGCAATATCACTGAAGCTTTTGTTACACGACCCACACCTCACAACATATAACTGTTGGTCTTCTTTTTTGTTTGTGTGGCTGTTGAGATGAGCTGTCATGTCAGAGTAGCTTTGCGCTGTCGAAGAACACAAAGTACAACGAAACCACACACTGCCTTTTTCCAACAGCGCTGCCTGACATCTCTTGTAGTCTGCCTTCCTGTTCTCTTTGCAGATATATTTTTCCCTGCAGCCACAATTTAGAAGGTTGCTTTCTTCTACTATTTCAAAATTTTTAATTGATTCCCCCGCTCTTCCAGACACACACAGGTAATCTATGCTATGCACACTCCTGAAGTGACATAAAAACTCCTCCTCAACATCAAAAAAGATGTCACCACACAGTCCACAGAAGTATTTAATTTGAACAATACTATCATGCCTATCCTTACAGTGCCGATGCAGGGTTTCAGTCTTCCGAAATGTCAATTTGCACAAGCCGCAGCTGTATCTGTGAAAGTGATGGCTCTCTAATGACATGCAGTGTTGTTTCACACTGTCTTCTGAGTCAAATACCTCCTCACACAGGCGGCACTGCCACTGGCCAGAAGTGCTCTCGGTCAGGTCCACTGGACTTGCAGGTGGAGACAGTTCCATGGGGCTTGGAGAGTTTTCCTCTCGTTCAAGGGATCTGCTGCATTGTACATCAGATGGCAAGGCAAGCTCATCTCCAGAAAAATCTTTCTCCCAATAGTAAGTGTGACCTTCGTGGAGTTCTGTCACATGGGCCATAACATCCTCCTCTTTCTGAAGGACAACACTGCAGGACTGACACCAAAAGTGGAAGTTGGATAAGTGTGCTCCTCCATGGAACCGGCTCATGTGTAAACGGATTATGCTTGCATTTTCTGCAGATTTGGCACACACGCCACACCTGTAGCAAATTCGGTTTTCCGAAAAAATATGTTTTTCTACCAGCTCTTCAGAAGGAAATGCTAAATGGCACTGACATACCCAGGTTTTGACAGTATAAGTACGGCTCACCTCTTGGCTTCTGCCTTCGAAATCCTTTTTGCGTTTTGAAGTGGTTTCTCCCTGATCACCAAGTAGTACATTCAAATCCAAAGGTCTTTTCAGAGGAGAAGGCTTTAAAAGGTTCACATGCTTCTGCAGATGGGGGACACTTTTGTTCCCTTCATTAATGTGACAGATGGTTAAGATGGATTCTTCCATGGTGGTGAAAATTTTAACCTTAGGTAGAGATTTGCAAGTGTGCTTACTGATATGGTCATCATTGAGAAACAGGGTGTCACAGCTTTGACAGAAACCTTTGGCTTTGAAAATTTCAGCAACCTGAGAGATGCTCTTCTTCGATACAGACACTGGGCCAGCATTACGACAACGAGTTCTAGAAATGGAGAGGATACAATAGCACCTTCACAGCTGTGTAAGAAAACAGGACATCTACAAAGCTGTCTGGAATCTCAACATTATCCCTGGATGGCAAGGGATTTATTTTGTTATTTTGTGAGGAACGTAACACTTGCCAATCTCAGGCAAGGTTTTGAGAGAAATGAGGAAGTGAACCGCTGCCTCACCATGGTTTATCAGGGTCTCACATTTCCCTCAACTGCAGCAGAAATGCCCCAGATACCCCTCAGAGCCCTTAAAAACAAACATTAGCTACTGGCGAAAATTCTCTTTAACACCAGATGAGAGAGAGAGAGAGAGAGAGAGAGAGAGAGAGAGAGAGTGGGGATAGATAGATAGATAGATAGATCGATAGATCGATCAATCGATCTATGAATACAGCAAGTAAAGTACATTGCTCTTTTGTCCATGGATATAGTTCAGCAAAATGGCTGGTGTATATATGAAAACAGAACTACAGCCCACTCTACAATTACAATCTGTGACAAACCTGAAGTGTGCAGTTAATTCTACGTGAGAACGCAAGACCAGGTGGCAAGACGTGCACTTCACTTGGAATGGAACTTCCTTGCACAGGGAGATTAGAAGATTCTTTGCATAAGTTGGGAAAGACAAAGGAACTGGGTGGCCTGGTTTATCTGCAAAGGAAGGCAGAGAACATGGTATCCCTGGGGCAAAAAAAGGACTAAAGTTAATCCAGCCTTGTTTGCACTCAAGAAAGGGCCACCCCACACTTGCCAGCCATCACACATCCTACTCCAAATCTAGATGTATTTTACCAGAAAACGTTGGTGCATGTCAGATAGGCAAGTCAGATTTTATGGCCCACTGTTATCTAGTTTGCATCGTATGCTGCAAATAGCTTTCTATTTCCAATCACTTTACATCTTTTTAAAAAAATCTTCGGCCAACAATCAAATGAAAAATTGCCAAAAACTGTCTGGAGAAACAATTCAAAACAGTGTGCCAAATCAACAATGCCACGCATGCCCCAAATCTGGTTAGAGTTCACAAGCATTCTTGGTTGACAGCTTGTAAAGAAGAAAACTCCCTCTTCCAGAGATATGTCACAGTCATTTTCACAGTACCCAGTACTTTAGAGGTATGAAAAAAAAAACAGAACAAGAAAATTTCAATCAGGTGTTAATAAAAAAATAGAATGCTTTGCTTCTAGTAGTACAGAACCTGGGAAGATTTGATTTAAATCCCAACTTAAATTTAAAAACAACAACTTTTTTTGGACAATTAATTTTTTTAATTCAAACTGTAAATTTAATTTTTTTTTAAAAAAAATTGACTTTTTAAAATTGATTGATTTTTATCTACCCTACACAGAACTGAGTACAACAGTTTTTTGTAGAAATACTCAGAACAGTAGAGTACTGTGTATATTATATTGTTCTAACATGTATCAGCAGGACAGTGTCATAATCTACATTGAGCAAAAAATTTCTTGGCAACTATCGTTATATCTTTATTTTCTTGCTTTATCAGATTACAATAGGATCTGAAACAATTAACAGAGCCACGGAGCTGCTACTATTAAATCTAAATTTCTTGCATAAAGAAATTATGACCCTGAAGTTCTGATCTGAACAAATTAGTCTTCCTAATGCATGTATGTAGAAAAGAGAAACCATCACTGTTTACAGTCTCAGATGAAATCTACATAACTGGTAGTGAGACAAATGAAAGCATTTAAAAAGTCAGCATATTTAGAAAAGCATGGAAAACCAAGAGACAAAATTGCAGGTTCATTTCACTGGCATTTTCATTACACATTCTTAAGACAAAAATTATTATTACTTGTAAAGATGATAAGGTCATTACTCTTTAAGGTCAAAAACCATACACTACCCATTCATATCAGAGAAAATATATGTATCAAAGTAAGAAACATACCATCCAGTTTAAAAGCCTGAGAAAAATGCTTCTTTTCAGACATATGCTGTAGACATTCATCTCTTATGCTGAAAAGGAGGAAGCAGCATGGACATGCAAAGCACTGAATATGCTGAGGAGGGTAATTTCTTTCATGGCCATCATTTTCACCAGCCTAATGATGGTGGTGGGAGACAAGAAACAAGAAACAAAAACAGGAACTCAGCTTTCTAAAACAACACAGGCTTGGAGGATTTTTTTGAAAGATCCGTTGTGTGTAGGACCATTCCTAATAGTGGAAGTATAGATAAAGATAACACGAATTTAATATTTGTTTCACTTATCCTTACATCTGTAAAGTACAACTTACACGTGTATATATTCATTAATACACAGCAAAAAAATAAAAATAAAATACAACTGAGCAATATCAAAGCATAACCCAAAAAGTCAAAATAGAAAGGGTTTCAGCTGACAGTATTAGCCATATTTTAATTTTCAGAAGATATCATTCTCCAACAGAAGAGTGGTTTCATCATGTTGTAAAGGCCAAACTCAACCTTTGCTGCAATCAAGTTGTCCAAATCAATTAAGGTGTATGCAGAGGGACCTCCACGGACTGACTTGTTCTCTCATAAGGAAAGGAAGCTTATAAACAAACAAACAAACAAATAAAATTCAAGGCAAATCCTAAATCAGGTGAGGATACCCAAGGGAATCCAAATAAAAGTGTGCCCATAAAAAGGATGGTTATTCGGAGACGTAATTTGCTGTTTTGTTGAAATACATCCATCCTTAAGTTCTTGCCTTAGAGGAAAGGTGGTCGCTGTATTGCTGAGAAGTGGCAAATCTTCTTCTACAGACTATGCAGGCGAAGGCATTGGCCGGAGGTCCATGTAGTGTAATTGTTGGATCACATGGAGAATGATCAAACCTAAGAAAATAACACACTGGCATCAGGATCCATAACATCAAATAATTTCCAAGCCAACAAAGGTGAATTCATGTTAATCCTGACCAGGAACAACAAGGAGCTTGTGGCACCTTAAAGATGAGTACATTTTCACTGACAGGAGTTTTCCTCAACTGCAGCCTGCATTATCAGGTGCTTTATCCCTTTCCCGCAAATCAGTCTGCAGCAGAAACTGCCTGTCACCCTGAAGTTTCATCACACATCCTATAGCCTAATTTATTACGCTGACCAAGTTGCCTAAAATGGACAATAGGTGAATCCTAAATGTATCTGCCATTGTGCGAAATCCCTACAGACCACTGCATTATACATTTGAGAATTCTTATAGGCCCATGTTCAGAAAACTAAGTGGCTTATTCAGATCAGAAAAGACAGTTACCGTTTAAGGTGCCCTAGGAGAAGATGCCCGTTGTCAAACTTTCTGTTGCAATGCATTATAGGACATAAAATAGATTTACGGTTAGATGGCATCTCGCCTGATTTCTGAGGTAATGCTCTTCTTCCTGAGTTCACAGTGCCCGGCTTGAGACCTACAATATGAAAAAAAAATATTTAGTGTGTGGTGTGATTATCTTTGAAGTCAATATGAAGTCATATCACAAAAGGGCAGCAAAAAATAGCTAGACCACAGGGGCTGCAATGTCTTGTAACTTGCTGTCTGAAAATATACCATGCCATGCTGTTTCTCTGTCAGACCCATGGGCTGTTATTACGTACTGGCGTGCAAGAATTTTCCAACTAGACAGGTTAATGGTTACCTACAGCAGCTGTTGCCTTGGAAAAAGCCATATCTAGCCAACTAATTTACTGATGAATGATACCAGAAAGGCCACCCAAAGAATATCAGTAAGCCAAACACCAAGCTCACTGAGCTATCCAGCCAGTTTATCAATACATTACCTGGCATTTTTAGCCACTGGTTCACGCACAGTCTTGCTGCCTCTGTATCACTATGTCCCTGGATAAATTCCAACTCTTGCAGTCCATGAGCATGTTGAGAATCCAGTTTTTCCTAACAGTCATAGTGATTAGAACACAGGCCATTAAAATGTGGATTTTCTTCCTCTGTAAAATTAGTCGTACTGAATGAGAATTGTTTAAGGAAAAGCAAGATTGTAAGTATACACAGCAAAAAGAAGAAGAAAAATCTCCCCCTAGTGGTAGAGTGCGGATTAACTGGCTTTGCATTAGTTCCTATGGGAATGAATGCTTCGACTTAAGAATGACGCCTCTACATAACAACGGAAAACAGCCGGAACGGATTAAATGGTTTTCAGTGCTTTCCTATGGGAAATGGTGATTCAACTTACAAAAGTTTCAAGATGCGGCCACCGTTCCAATATGGATTAATTTTGTAAGTCGAGGCACCACTGTAATTAAGAGAAAACACAAGAAGGGTTTTACCTGAAACAAAGGCAATTTTATGTCTTTTCTTGGGTTTTTTTAAGTTTGGTTTTTCATGAGTACAGAGGGAATGCGAGAGGTACCACCACAGCATGTGGCCACTGCAGCTGCACATAATTGCTCATTCTACAACAACAAAACTCAACAAGTGCCCTTTGCCAAGCTATCTGTCAGCACAGCAATAAGAATCTGGCACTCATGGCTACTTTGATTCACTAGGAAGAGGGAAACTATCAGAAGAGTATGGTTTCCTGGCAGACTCAGCACATGATTTTTGAAGAAGAGAGATGGGCAACTAGTGCAAATGGCCAAAATATTTAAGGCAGCAGATTATTATGAGCACAAGAGAAAAGAAGGAGTTCATTAAATAGCTCAGTGGTTTAGAAAGAAGAGACAGCTTGTGTGGCCTTGGGCAAGCTGACAGTCCCAGGATGCTCCCAAAAGAAGGGAACAGTAAACCACTTCTGAATATTCTGTATCTAGAAAACCCTGGATAAGGTTGCCATAAGATAGAATTGACTTGATAGAACATTATTATTGTTGTTACATTGAAGAAAAAGGATGCCAAGCTCTACATAGCAAAGGGCAGCCTGAATGTTGTCAACACCAATGGCAGCAATCAAGATGGTCTACAAGTTATCCTCTTGTGGTGGCAGAGCAAATCAGCATTCTATAAGGTAAATCTAAAAATGGGGGCATCCAAAACAAAACATATATTTGAAACTGGAGTTCAGATCAGCACGAACTTTGGCACAGCTATAACAGGCATCTTACTCTGTGCCAGATTTGGGGAAGTTTGGGCAAAAGGTTTTTGAGTTATGATTTTTCATATTTGTTGAAAAACAATCCTCACGGTTGTTTTGTGTTTGGGTGAGAAATGGTTAACTGATGAAAAAAGGACTCAGCTTTTGGGAGTTTCCTTTGCTTAGTGTTGCTTTGTGAATGGCTATGAGCCCAAGAAAGTATCCTGTAGGCCATCCTGACTGCTGCCATTCATGTTGTCAACATTCAGGAAACCCTTCGCAAAAACTACACAAATAAAAAAAAAAGAAATCACACAATACCAATTATTCCATAGTTGAGCCATACCTTGAATGCTTTATTTTTCTCTTCTTTCAGCTGTTTCTCCACTTCAACATGACGTGCCAAGCGATCTAGAGTTGAAGCAACCTTTTCCTTCTGATACTCAAAGTAGTCTTTCTTCTTTACATTTTTCTACATGTGAAAAAAAGCACAATTACTAGCTAGTAGAAGAGAAACAGGAAGAAGCTACCAATCCAAGAAAAATTACGTTCAAGAAATTAAATATTCTCTGTTGGAAGGTATCTGTTGAGTTGTGCTCAATTTACCACACACCAAGTCTTTATTTCAATAGCCAATGAAGGATGAGGCAGTAAGCCATTAACCAAGTTCTCCTGGCACAAAAGAGTCATTCCATAGCTTGTCTCTGCCATGTACCCTCCCCCACAAACCACTGTTTCTCATCTCCTTACCTACTCAGTGATCCCCCTTCAGTTGCCTGTACCTCAGTTCCTATACTATGAGGATTTAATCCTAACCAAATGACACTTTCCTCTTACATCACAAAAATGGCTACTTGACCTTGAGAGGTGGACAACACCATAGTAACTTAGCTATTAGAGCACAATAAAATGCAAATTGGGTGATTATTAGATAATCCTGTTTCACAACTTTCATCAGATGAACTTTACACCAGTTGACAGCCCCTGTAAGTGTTGAATCAGAAGTCCTATTCGGTCTTGCCTGAGGAAGCAGCAAAACCATACAGGCAAGACCTTCCCCTGTGTTCCTGTACAAGCGAGCTCCCCATCCAATACCGGGCACAAAAGTCAGGAAGGAGATTTTCTGTATAGTTAACTCAGCATAGAATCCTCCCCCACTTCTACTGCATGTATAAGGAACCCCCACTGAGACATTCCCACTGAATGTGAAGGCTGGATGTGAAGCTGGAACACATAGGGATATTATTATTATTATTGATTAGATTTGTATACTGCCCATATAGCTGAAGTTACTCTGTACAATTCATAAAGGCAGTTCTACAAGTAAAAAATAAAATCAAGATACAAACATCATAAAATAAAACAGGACTATAATTAGAATATTACATAATTAACAATTAAACATTAAATATTTTAAAAGGTAGTAGGGCTGGAATGAAATCCACCTAGCATGTACAGTCCTATTTCTCCCTCCATAGGTTCATGGAAGAATAGCAGAATAAGGCTACTCACCTTAGTTATTTTCTCCCTTAGAAACATTTCAGAATGGTAATTTCTTTAACATTTAACAAGAAAGATCAATGGAGTGGATCTTAGATTACTATGAATTGTACTCAACTCTAGAGAGAGTTGAGTACAGATCATAGAAATCTAAGATCCACTCCATTGGTCTTGCTTGTTAAATGTTAAAGAAATTACCATTCTGAAATGTTTCTAAGGGAGAAAATAACTAAGGTGGTACACACACACACACACAAATTTACAGACTCGCAGCCAGTGTTACAAGATATGAAAGTCTTGTTTTACAAATAAACACCATTACTTCCTTCCATGAACAAAAGGGCTTTCAATAAAGTTGAGACTTGTGCTGGTAGCAGGAAGGCAGTTTCTATTTGAAGGAATATATATAAGAAAAAGAATACTGTATAAGAATATTTTAAAATATTAAAAGAAAAGAAAAAATCCGCACTCATATACATTATAGCCTGTGCATAGGTAATCTTTCCTCACTGAAGTAATCAACTACTGTCACTGGTCTCAGTGGAATGTGACTAACTAGCATCTCTTAAATTTGTTTCATAACAGGTGCTAATCAGATTTCACAGAAAATTTTGGCAATGTTTATTCAGGTTTCCAGCTCTCCAACTGTGGAGCCAGAGGTTGGGAGTTCTCCCTACTGTGCCTCCCTGACAGGTGCCGGACCCGACAATACACAGAGTACCTTCTAGCTGTGCAATTCTAAGATCGTGTTGATGGACAGGCTTACTAAAATTACAGGGATAATAAGACTCTGCAGGCCACCATACAACGTTTCTCAAATTATTCTGAACACTCACATTAGAAGAGCTGACACAGTCTTCCTCATCACTACTAAGAAGGTCAACGCAGTCCACAACAGGTCTCAATACACCTTCCTAGAAATGTGAACAAACATGTATCTTTAAGCAGTGTATCCCACCTCCCCCCTTTGCACCCTCTTCCAAAATCTTAGAGATATTAAGATACCCAACAAATCGGCTCCACACTCACAAGTACAGGCTTCAGAAATCATTCTCAGTTACCAAAAGGGACAAAATTATGCCATGTCACTGTACGCAGTAGCTCAGTGGTTTGGAGTATCTGGCTGCAGAACCAGGGCAAGTTGGGACTTAAACACACACACCTCCGATTCCTGGGAGAACAGCCAGCTTGTGTAGCCTGGGGCAAAGTAGAGCCGCACAAAAACAAGTCCCTGATAAATCAAGCGTGAGTACTTTATACCTAGAAAACCCTGGCAAGGAGTGTCATATACCAGAAATGGCTCAACATTAAAAATAAATTGCACTCAGTGTCAGCTTCTCCCATTCTGAACTATTCTGGTATTATGGCTGAAGATACGTAGCATTTCTCAAAATTTTCAACACTTCATTAAGGAAAACGATTCATCATTTGTCACTAAAATACATTAACCTGTGCTCAGGCACAAATGAAATACACTGCAAAATGATTAAGGTAAGCACAAACGATACAGCATTCATAAACCAAACTCAATAGGAACCCCATAAAAAGTGGCCAGTGGGTGTCCATTCAAGCAAAGGAAGTTTTGTTGATCTCAGCAGACACTTTATGCATTTTATTGAACACCTACACCGTATCTTTCAATATAACTACACCTAAGGAGAGTCAGACTAACCCGTACAAAACCGTATCCAACAGCCTTTTGGCCAGTGTTACAGGGCAGAATGCCATCCTTCCGTAGTCCCAGGAGAAACTGACAGTTGGAACGGAACTGTCAGTTTCATGCACATTCACAGATGCTACTGCTTCTCAGGTCAAGGGCAGGAGTCCGATCAGTTACCCTAACTCAGTGATGGCGAACCTATGGCACGTGTGCCACAGCTGACATGCAGAGCCCTTTCTGCCGACACACAAGCCATAGGCCGCCAGATCGCTACTCCCACCCCCCCGCAGCCAAACCTGAGCAGGCGGCTGCAACCGCAGCACTGGTGCCCGGACAGGTGGCGGGGCAGGATTCAGAGCAGCTAGTGCTGGCGTCGGATCTGGAGTGGGATCTCGAGGCACCTCCGTGCCTGGGATTCCCCCTTTCGCCGCCACTTCTGATTCTGCCGCAGCAGAATTTTCCCTGGGATTCCCCCTTTCACCGCCACTTCTGATTGCCGCAGCAGCAGCACGGCAGCCCGTTTTTTTTTTCCAGTATGGGCACACGAGCCCAAAAAGGTTTGCCACCACTGCTCTAACTCCTAGCTCCTGCAAGCTAAGGAGCTCAACACAATAAAGTTATTCAGAGGTTATCTTTGCTTTTTTAAAAATTTCACTCACTAAATTAAATTACAACTTGCCAGTTGAAAACCTGTGGGAACACTGATGCTGCTGTTCAGATTGCCAGCCTCTCTTGCCAGTATTGTTCTTTCGCCAGAATAGAATACTCACTGCAAACTGCAAAAGATGCAATCAGCAGTATGAGTCTTGGATATACAGTATTGCTTTCCTGCCTTACTGCATGCAATCAGCAGTATGAGTCTTGGATATATTGCTTTCCTGCCTTACTGTAGTGACAGACCACATTCAGATTGACTGCTGTTCTGATCTCTGTACTCTCTGCTGTAACTCATTTTTTATTTATATTTATATTGCATGGATGTGCATTCTGGAGTGACGCTGCCCGAGCCCTGCGGTGCTGCCAGCCATGTTGGCCTGCCTCCAGCGAACGCAGAACCCGGCCACGCCACCTGGCGTGACTGAGCAAGTCCCTGGAGCCACTCAAGTATTCAGGGTGCATGGAGCCACCGCCACCCCAACAATGACCCCCCATGAGGGGGAAAATGGAGGAGGAGGCCGCCGCCACCACCACCAAGAGGGGAAAAGTCGCGCCGTCATCATCCATGCCGTGAGGGAGCAGGCTGGGTAGGTGGGGCTCATCAGCCCTGGAAGGCAGCCCATCTAGGAGAAGGAAAACTCCGATTTCAAACCTCCACTGCCTTGTGGCCATATCCACTGATGGAAGAGGCTTCAGGAGATAACCTTGAGGCAAAGTCCGGAGCCGGAGTTCCGGAGGCAGTGTGTGTCATTCTGTCAACTCCTGCGACATCGCTGGAACCAGTTGTATTGGCTCTTGCCTTTCCATTGGACTATTTCAGTGACGTGGAGAGGAGGGATTTGCTGCTTGGGTAATAGCCTATCCTCCATATTATTTTACCCAGGCTTCATGCTCTGGAGAGGACACTCTCCAATTCCTACATACGGAGCACATTACCATAGTCTCTCAAGACTGAAGGATGTCATTCCAAAAATATTATTTATATGTCCTTTTCTTCCCATAGAGGTGCCAAGGTAGCTCACGATTAAAACTATACAATGCTAATAGATTTAAAATACTATACAAAAACTTTATTAAAAAACAAACATAAGTCAATATCGTTCGTAAATGTCCTTGTGTCAAGTTCCTCCAATACAAAATGGTATCCTCTGCTTTTTGTCTTTTTCTTTGTAGCTCAGAGGCTGACCTCTTCTATCAACTTTGCTGATTAACATGAAGAATCTTATCTATGCTACAAAAACTTATTACATCTTAAGAGACACAACCTCCCAGAAAGAAAACAGGAAATTCTGAAGTCAGATAAGAGGGATTTGCCTCCCTGAGGACTTTGTTTTGTTTTCACCATACTATGTTGGGTTATCAAAGATTTTATTTCAAAACTGTGAAAGCTCTATTCATTTATTAATTACTCCAGTCTCTTCAACATGGAAACAAGGAAATACAGAGTCCTGCCCAATTCCACTACTGTTCTCCTCAAATGGAAAGCAATGTACCTGAAACTCAGAGATTCCTCTTTGCATCAAAGCCCTCCACACATTAAGGAACTTTGATTTTCCAGGACTATTATATTGCTATCTGGGCTTTACTTCTCAAACTGATTTCTGAACATACTTAGGACTTTGTTGCATACTACAGAACATATTCAAGTATTTGGACCAGAAATACAACCTGGGATTCGGCTATGCATGTCCCTCCTGAGATTCCCACTTGCTCAGTGACGTATCACTACTTTAATTGTAGATAACTCTATTTTGCTTCCAAAGTGATTGGCGCTCAACCACCTGCACTTGCTCTTAAAAAGGATGATGATGCTAATAGCTTTTAAATACAAGTTGTCTACATACACCAACAAACTCAATATCATCTTTGCTTTCTTCGTGTTGAGAAGAGGCATCCTCAGTCCTTTTAGAAGACATAAGACACTCCATTATCTACAAAAAAATAAAATAACTTGTTTAATTTTACTTGCATAATAATGTACACACTACAGCTATGGAGAAACATATGTTTAACATTGTACTGTTATGTCTTACATACAAAAAATAAAATACTAATGCTTTATTTTAAAGTTAAGATGCTAAATATAGGTACAGTATTTTTGTTTGATACTAACAAATTATTTTCTGATAGAATGACAAAAAGCAAAAAAAATAATAATCCCCATATTCTAGTTTTGCAAATAATATCTGTTGGCATCAAAAGGAAACTAAACTATAAAGGCTGTATTCACTGACAACATCTTCACTTTCACTCATTTATCAGGCATCCAAACTCACATGTTCTACACAGACGTTGGCACCAGAACTGTTAAAGGGAACTGACATAGTGGTTTCCACACTTTGGAGGTAGAAGATGCAGAGTAACCTTTTTTCTTTGGCGGACTTATTAGTAATACAAAGAGCATCCAAGCACTCTTTATTGCTGGGAGGGGGATATGCCTTACCAATGCTATAAATGTTGTTCAACGAGTCCACATTGACTTGCCCTGGTTTTGCAACTGGCATTCTAGGCATGCTCCCTCCTGGGTCAGGTCAAGAGAGAAAGCCAAGCGGAAACAATGGAGCAAGGGCTTGGTAGGGCAACCCCGAAAAAAGCTTCCGGAGGGTGCAAGGGGAACATTGTTTTTCCTGCCATGAATTCAGAGTAGCAACGACACACGAACAACAGCAACTCACCGTGCTACACCAGAAGTAACTGTGCAAGACCTCTATTCCACTCCATTCCAAGAAAAGCACTTCCAAACACCAGCAAGAGAGCACAGAGAAAGGCGGGAGAGGAGAGAGAGAGAGAAGAAAGGGAGGGACGCTGTCCTAAACGAGGGGCCAAGAGCCAGTTGTTCAGAGACCACCTCCACCCGCACAAGCTTCACAATCGACCACAACTGGTGACGGCCAGGAGGGGGAATGCCAGAGGGACGCTTACAGGGGGTCCTGCCGCCAAGCCCAGCCCACGACTCAGCGATGCCCGGACATGCCCAGGCAACGGACTTCTGCAAGGCGGCGGCGGCACAAGAGGGCAGCTTGACTGGCGCTGGAGGGGCCCAACAGCACGAAGGAGGCCCGGGAGCCAGAAGCCGCCACCGCTCCGCTCCCACCCACGGCTCTTGCAAGCGCCTTCCACGAACCGACTCCCGGGGCCTCGCGCGTGACCACTTCCTCGGTTTCAAGCTCAGAGCGGGACGTTGCCCGGCCAGGGAAGTCGCGCAGGGCCTGTCGGGAGTTGTAGTTTCCCTGCGCTCTGTCCGCCTGGGGGTTTCTCAAGCCCAAGGGACAACGCGAGGCAATTGCCGAGGGCTGCCCTTCTCATTCTGAGGGGGGACAAGGAACGCCGAAGCTTCTGTGACACCTTCAGGCAAAGGCGGGGAAGACCTTTTGGCATGTCGAATATTTTGGGACTTCAACTTCCAGAAGCCTCAGCCAGCAAGGCGGTTCAAACGCAAGGGATTGTGGTCGTTGTGGTCCAAAACACTGGGAGGGCCAAGTTTTCCCCACTTCTCCCTTAAAGGCACCATGTAGCTTCCAGCCTAAGCTTTCGTGGAAGGAAATCAGAAATGGTCAAATGTAAGGAAGTGTGACTGGAGGCCAAGACATCCTGTTTCCAATCACCATATATAAGTGGGAAAGCTGGACAGGGAAAAAAGCTGAGAGGGAAAAATAGATTAATTTGAAATGCGTGCTGGAGAAGAGCTTTGTGGATATCCTGGACTGCCAGAAAGAGGAACAGGTGGGTCCTAGGGGAAGGAAATCAGAAATGGTCAAATGTAAGGAAGTGTGACTGGAGGCCAAGACATCCTGTTTCCAATCACCATATATAAGTGGGAAAGCTGGACAGGGAAAAAAGCTGAGAGGGAAAAATAGATTAATTTGAAATGCGTGCTGGAGAAGAGCTTTGTGGATATCCTGGACGGCCAGAAAGAGGAACAGGTGGGTTCTAGGTCAAATCAAACATAAACTATCTCTGGAGGCAAAAATGTTGAAACGGAGGCTGTTCTACTTGGGGGTGCATCAAGACATGACAGGATTCTCTGGAAAAGACAACAATCCTGGGAAAGGTGGAAGGCAGCAGGAAAAGAGGAAGACCAAATACGAGATGGATTAAATCCTAAAGGAACCACAGACTTTTTGTTTGTAAACACTGAGGAAGGCTGTTGGAAACGGCATGTTGGAGATCACTCATTCATAGGGTTGGCTTAAGTTGGGGCAACTTGACGGCACATAACAACAACGGTTTTGTGGACTATGGCCTCTTTTGGAGGAGGGATAAGGGAAATGAGTATTTCCAAATCAAAGTCTGGAAAATTTGGTTGTTGTAGGATATCCTGCACACCACACCAGAACGCAGAGTTCTAACTTCTGTTCTCTGAAGATGCCGGCTGCAGAGATTGGCAAAACATTAGGAAGAAAAACCTCCAGAACACGGCCAAACAGCCCGAAAAACCTACAACAACCATCGGATCCCGCCCGTGAAAGCCGAGAATACTCTGGAAATTTTACTTTTTGGAGCTGTATCTCCTAGACACCCCCTCCACACACACATACATAGCCTTTGCTGGCTGGGGCATTCCAGGGATATAGTCCAAAAAGTAAACTTTCAAAGGTCTGTTGCAGAAGTTGTTAAAACTGCAACTTTCCCATCCTCTCTTAGCACTGGGCTTCACTACCCAAAGCTGATCTTTCTTTGAAGCTTTACTTTGCCATATTTACCTGTCTCTGGGCTGTTTCATCAGGTCCATAAAGTGGCAAAAAATGAGGATAACATCTTGTGTATCTGATGGGCCTTTGTCTATGAAAATTAAAAAGTTATGATCATAAAACTGCTGGTTAGGGCTTGTGATGGGTGTTGTCCAAAACATCTGCAGGATAAAAGCCTTACCTATACCTACAATAATATCATATATGTTAAGTTTTCAGTACTACAAGCATTTGTTATATTTGTGTCTGCTCAATCAGCCCAGTATAGCTATTTTTCAGGGAAATGGTTTGAAAAACCAGTTACTGGTGACGTGTGTGTGTGTGTGTGTGTGTTGTTGTAAGAGTGTCCCTTTCCAGTTTACTACCCCTGTTTTATCAACATCTAATTATCTGCCCTATATCCAGTTATTCCTGAGGGAAGAATCTCATAAATAAATAGGTTCCCATTCGGACAGCATATGTGTGCAAACTTAGCTACAGGTCCTGTTGAACTCATGGAAGTAATTTTTGAGTAGGTAAAAATTTGGATTACACCGTTTGTCCCAGGTGTCTCTAGCTCCTTTCTTACATCCTTCAGAGTTGAGGGGTTTTATATAGGCATACTCTCTGTACTGTATGTCTTAACCCCACATAGAGTAACACAAAATCATTCTAGGCAATTCCTGGCTGAGTGGGAATGTGAACCCAGGTTTCATAGATTGAGATTTTAACATTAGGTTTCAGTTAAAATTCTCTCATAGTATAGCTGAAATGACATCTGTTTCTGAGAGCCACTTCTAGGCACAGTGGCTGCTGCTCTACTTGGCCCCAAGGGTGTGATTGAGAGTAGAAATTCCAATTATTTCTGTATCATATAGCCATCGAGTACATTACTGGATCTGTTGTTACTTTTACTATCCATCTGTAACTTAGAGTTTTGTTTTGTTTTCAAAGCTTGTAGTTTATGCTGATTAAGTACAACAATGTTACTTCTAGAAATTTGTGGTTTCCTATCTTTGCTCTCTCCCTTTTTTAACATAATAAATAGCTAGCTTCACACTTCTATCTAAACAGAATAATTTACTTTCTCTTTTCAAAAAACTCTCAATGTATTGTAACATTGAAGAAAAAAAGAAGTATCAAGAAACAGATATGCCAATTTTGAAAATGTTATCATGCATTAATTGCCATGTATTTGTAAAGTTTATGTATTGTTTTTCCTCCAGTATCGCAAGTTAGCATATGAGGACAGGAGTGTTTGCCAGGGGGACCAGTGGGGTAAATGCCTCCATGTGAATTCCTAATTTAATTAAATAACTTTAATGTACAAAAAAGACACATGCATCCAAAGCACATGCATGTTCTGTTTCATTGTGTTGGAACATTGTGAATCCAGGGTTCTTCTGTATGCCCACATTTTAAAAGCATTTATTCTACTAAGCATCTGCTCTACAATAATCCAGACATCACATCCATATACTGTAGGAAAGCTGACCATATAAAATTTTTTAATATCCTCAGTTTCAAAGCGATATTAAACTATTTCTTATACAACATTTTATTTATAGGAGATACATCATAAAGGTTGTTCTAACTATCTCAATACTTCACTATTTCTATATAACAGTCTATATGGTGGTTAATTAAAATAAATAAAATAACAGACCATGTCTCCAGTCATTATAAGATATGCCTGTTTATCTTCCCCAAATGAGTTGTAACATGCCCAGGAAGTAAGATGGTGTACTAAGGCAGATGGATTATTTCTGGAAATTTCCCTACAGTTCAATCTGATTTGGGAGAGGGGAAGCAGCTCCAGAGCTGTTTAGGAAACCTGCAGTATTAACTTGTTATTTAGTTGTTAAGTCATGTCTGCCTCTTCATGACCCCATGGACCAGAGCACGCCAGGCCTTCCTGTCTTCCACTGCCTCCCAGAGTTTGGTCAAATTCATGTTGACAGCTTCGATGACCCTGTCCAACCATCTCATTCTCTGTCGTCCCCTTCTCCTCTTGCCCTCACACTTTCCCAAATTTGTAGGCCTGCTTTTAAATAATGGTAGGGCAGGAAAACAGAGAGGACCCAGCTTCTTCTGTGATGCAATGTGAAAATCCAGATTTGTGAACTTGGAACTATCCCAGCTATACGGACATTATTTTATGTTTTGTTTTGAAAATGGACACAATGCTGAAGCTTTATGCTGAAGATGGATACAAATCATACTACATACCAATTACATTTGTTAGCTGTATAGAGAATTACTGCTTGCTTTTGTTCCAAACATTGTTTTATTTTTTAAAATTAACATTCCAGTTGTTTTTTCTTTTCCTTTTTCACTGCCCTTGTAACTAGGGTGGTTTAGTGCCCGTGTGTGTGTGTTTCATTGTCATCAGAAACTGAACCGACCCACTCTTCATTCTGTGATAAATATTGGAGAGTGAGTGGATTACATGGGCAAAACAGTTCCATCTGCACAGAAAGATAGCCAGTCTTTTCCCCGAGGTATAATATTCTGTGCGGTTTATATTACGAGCATCTTGAAAAATCATACTATAGGGCTTATTTTCAGGTTAGGTCTTTTTTTTGGGGGGGGGGACATAGTATATGTATATATATAGATATATATACTATGTGCAAGTCATGGGTCATGGTATAGAATCATAGAACTGTCGTAGGGTTGGAAGGGACCTTGGAGATCTTCTAGTCCAGTGGTTCTTAACCTTTGTTACTCGGATGCTTTTGAACTGCAACTCCCAGAAACCCCAGTCAGGACAGCTGGTGGTGAAGACTTCTGGGAGTTGCAGTCCAAAACTCCTGAGTAACCCAAGGTTAAGAACCAGTGTTCTAGTCCAACCCCCAGCCAAGGCAGGAGATCTCATACCATCCCGGACAGATGGCTGTCCAATCTATTTTTTTGAAAACCTCCAGCAACGGGGCACCCACAACATCGGGAGGCAAGCTGTTCCACTACTTAAAAGATTCTCACCGTCAGGAAATTCCTCCTTATTTCCAGGCTGGATCTCCCTCTAACGAGTTTCCACCCATTTATTCTTATCCTACCCTCAGGTGAAATGGAGAATAAAACCATGCCCTCTTCCCTGTGGCAACCCTTCAGATATTGGAAGACTGCTATAGTGTCTTCCCTTGGTCTTCTCTTTGTTAAGTTAAATATACCCAGTTCTTAGCTCGCTTGTTTTGGGATAAGTTAAATATACCCAGTTCTTAGCTCGCAGCTAATCAGAATTTAAATTAACTCTCCAATGTCTGTGCTTGTTTTTCAGTTTCAACTACTGACTGAGCTTTTTTTAGTCCTGGATTGGAATGAGACAACTGACCCCTCACATTTTCAATTAGAAATCAGATAGATTCAGACCTGGGCAAAGTGCGGCCCTCCAGATGTTGCTGAACTGCAAATCCCAACATTCCTCACTGTGTGGGCCAGGCCCAACTCTCCTCACTATTGGCTGCGTGAGCTAGGCCCAACTCTCCTCACTATTGGCTGCGTGGGCT